CAAAAAACAAAAGTAAAAATAAATTAACTGGGTGTGGTGATGCAGGCCTGTATTCCCAGCTACTTGGGAGGCTGAGATGGGAGGATCACTTGAACCCAGGAGGTGGAGGGTGTGGTGAGTTGTGATTATGCCACTGTACTCCAACCTGGGCAACAGAGTGAGATCCAGTCTAAAAACACAATACACACACAGACATACATGTAACTGCAGTGACATAGTAGTAGACACTGTTAGGATAGTTTTGCCTCATTCCTATACTCTGTAGCTTTTACCAGTGATGTATTTTTATGTACTTTTGTCAAACACATTGAATCTAATCAGAGTTATTTTATTAATGGAAACACAGGCAGCTAACTGCACAAGTTAAATAAGACGCAAGAACGCAAACAGAGGAATTCAGAGTGTTGCACATTCTAGGGTGCAAGTTACCCAACTTCTACAGCAACTCGATGGCAGGGAAGAAAATGGTATGCCAGCTGCCGCCAATCAGAGGAAACTAAGAGACCAACAGCCACATGCTGGGGGAGTCCTGTTTCCTTCTTTTTTAAGGTTAAGTAACATTCCACTGCATACATTCTACACCTGTATAATGCTTGCTTTATTCATTCATTGATGGACATTTGGGTTGATTCTATAACTTGGCTATTATGAATAGTGCTGCAGTACACATGGGTGTACAGACATCTCTTTGACAAACCAACTTCAAATATTTGGGGTAAATACCTGGACATGAGATTGCTGGATCACATGATTAATTCTGTTTATAATTTTTAAAGGAAACTTCATACAGATTTTCATAATGGCTCTGCTAATTTACGTTTTCACCAACAGTGTACAAGGGCTCCCTTTACTCACAGCCTTGTCAAAACTTAACTCTCATCTTTCACTGCTTTGTACCCCATAAATGTGTATAATGATAAACTGTTAATTTACAAGAAAAAAATACAAAGAAAAAAATGCCACAGAAGCACACACTCCATATCTGTATCTAGTCCTCTCCAGATCTTGTGTGGTTCTCACGCACTAAATAAAGTAATGCTGAAGATGGTTTCATAGCCTGGTCATTGTCCAACGTTAAAAAAAAAATCTGACTTCTAAATGTATTATTCAAAATTTTTTTCCCTGAGGAACTGGTATATTTTTGCTTCTTAGATGATGAGAGTTTAGTAAGCTGCATCTGTGTTATTTTCACCACTTAGTGTCCAGCAGTAGCTCATCTTTATATTATAATTTCAATAAATAAATCATACTAAGTACCTATTAGGAAAATAGTACAAATGGAAATAACTCAGAAGCAGATAGTAGAATGTCGCATGTTCTCACCTATAAGTAGGAGCTGAATGATGGGAATATGTGGACGTACAGAGTGGAACAGTAGACACTGGGGACTCCAAATGGTGGAAGGGACAGGGGTAGGGCTGATAATCACCCGGTGGGTACAGTGTTCACTATTTAGAGATGTGACCTTGAGGCCCAGGCTTCACCATTACATGATACATGCACAAGAGAAATCTGCACCTGTACTTCCTAAGTATATATTTTTTCTATTTTTTGACAATACTAGAATTTTATTTTTTGTGGATTACAATGAAGATTTGTTTTATTTTTGTTAGAACTAAAAATTGATCTTCCATATGACCCAGCAATCCTTCTCCTGGGGACATAACCAGAGGAACAGAAATTACTCTACCAAAAAGACACCTGCACACACATGTTTATTGCCACACTATTCACAATAGCAAAGACATGGAACCAACCCTGCTGCCCATCAAAAGTGGACAGATAAAGAAAATGTGGTACATACACATGATGGAGTATTACACAGCCATAAAGAACAAAATTGTGACTTTCATAGCAACTTGGATAGAGATGGAGACCATCATACTAAGTGAACTATCACTGAAACAAGGAACTGAATAGTACACGTTCTCACTCATAAGTGGGCCCTAATCACTGGTCACATTAGCACAAGGGTGAGATCAGTAGCTGCAGGGCACTGCTAGGGAAGGGAGGGAGAAGGTGCGGGCATGTGACAACACACTGGGTACCTAGTCCACTACTAAGAGGAGTGAGGGACACCTAGAAGCCCAAATTTCACCTGTATGCAGCCTGCTTATGCAGTAGACCCTCACTTGTGACCACAACTCTATAATTAATATATATTTTAAAAAACAACATAGTATGAATAATGAACCTTAATTTCAAGTAATAAATTACTTGTTATTGAAAGTACTCCCTAGTTTTAAAAAGTTGAAGGAAGAAATGTGATTAGCCTGTATGTACATATAAAGCAATAACAAGAATTCAACTAAAAAAAAAAAGGAAATGCTCTTAATTATTCCTTTTTACCCTTTTTCCTTAACTTTAATGGAATATTTGCAAAAATTATAGATTGAACTATATAATACTGCTAACATTCCACTGTTTTGGCCTACAAAATGGCAATTCCATATAGTGTAACTTTATTTTTTTTACTTTTTTTTTTTTTTTTTTTGAGTTGGAGTTTCACTCTGACGCCCAGACTGGAGTGCAGTGGCCTCTTCCGGCCACCGCAGCCTCGACCTGCTGGGGCTCCAGCGATCCTTCCGCCTCAGCCTTCCAAGTAGCTGGAATTATAGGCATGTGCCACCATGCCCGGCTGATTTTTTGATTTATTGTAGAGATGAGGTCTCGCTGCCCAGGCGGGTCTCGAACCCACAGGCTCAGGCAATCCACTCACCTCAGCCTCCCAAAGGCAACTTTATATTTTTGTGGTGAAAATATATGTGTCTGACATGTATAATTTCCTTTAGCTTCATTTCAATTTTTCTTTTAAGTTTGATAAATATATATAATTATTTAAAATATGCAGAACATAAATCTATTTATATAAAATTATTACCACTTTTCCTTCAATCTATTCATCTTTCTAACTATATGCTTTTTTTATAAAAACTTTTTATTGATAGAACTGGGCTCTCACTATGTTGCCCGAGCTGGTCTCAAACTCATGGGCTCAAGGGATCCTCCCTCCTCAGCTTTCCAAAGTGCTGGGATTAGAGGTGAGCCATGACACCCGGCCATTACTACTTATATGTGTATTTATGATATAAACAGAGATGTTAAAATGATGCTCATTACATGTTAATCGTGGTTATTTAAATTTTTTCTATAATTAACACTTTTTCGTAATTAAAGAAAAATCTTACTTGTTGTGTGAATTCGCTGGCTACAGAGATTGTAACTAGATAACTGTCTGTATCATCAAAGGTGCCCCGAGCCTTAACATCTAGCAAGGTAGGGTTTCCAACTAGCACTTCCAGCAACGGGGCTTCAATGACTCGAAGACCTGTGGGAAGAGGGTCAGGGTCAACATCATGTAGTGAGAGCTGTAAACTCAGTTTAAGGTGATTGATTAATTGGGATTTCAGACCCTCAGCAGACTCCATTACGAAGGCTGTGTCAGCTGCACATACTGTTAGCAATGTAGTCAGTCAGCTGTAATCATTCTTAGACATTTTTAGCTTCACAAATATTTTCCCCAGTTTTCTCTCTTCCACACCTCACCCCTCAGCCAGGCTCCAGTGTAATCAAGGTCTCCTGGATGATCCTGGCTGTAGAGCTGGCTGACTTAAATAAACTAAAGAGGCCATGCTTAACTTGAAGGGCCTCCAGTCCATCACTGCCCAGGGGAAATGCAGGTGTTTCAGACAAAATGTGTCACCAGGACCGCTTCTGCCTCAAGGCTACCTGCTTGCAACTTTGCCATACTAAAAGCTTTAGTGGAAAAGAGATTTGGAACACCGCATAGTCTAACTGCCATCTTTACTAATCAATCAATAGGATAGAGAGGAGAACTCGTGAAGGACTGTGTGAGGACTGTCTATAGCCGCTTCCCTTAAGCTCATGCGAGCAGGCCAGTGCTTCTTAACATACAACTGGGGATTTTGTTCAAACACAGGTTGAACAGGTCTGGGGATGGACCTGGGATTCTGCATTCATAACAAGCACCCTGGTGACGCTAACATAGGCCCAGGGGCACCCCTGGAGTAGCACAAAGTTGGTTTTCTCAGAAAGAGGCAACTGACAACTTGCTGATTGCCATTTGCTTCTGTCAAACTGAAAAGCTTAATGGATTGAGCTCTTACCAATGGATGTGGTATGTTGTAAGGCTAAAATCTTCAGAACTTTGTGGTATCGGTGCCAGAATATAGAGGCACTACAACGACATGGATTTTAAAAATTCAGGAATGGTCAAAATAATGTGTGAACTGGATGCTAAGATAAAGCTATGTTTTGAAATTATAAAGAAAACACACATTATTCAGTAATACTGTTGGAACAACTAGCAACCATCCGTAATACACCACAACAAAATGTAGACAGCTTCAAGAATTAAATGGAAAGTTAAAAAATAAAATTTAAACTCTTAAGTTATTTGGAGGAAATGTGGACAGCCAGATAACCAGTCAGAAAATGTTCCTGGGGTTTCCAACAGATGGACAGTTTTTAGTATATTTATTCCCCAAGAGCAATAGAAAGAGATGGTTTTCATTTTGTCAAAGTGTGTAATTTTCATTTATATAAGTTGTACTTTGTTCTGTTTTTCAAGTGAGCCTTTAAAAAACAGCATTTTGTCCTTTCATTATATCTTCTTTCCCTCTAAGAGGTTGTTTGTTTTTGAGTTGGAGTCTCACTCTGCCATCTGGGCTAGAAAACAGTGGCACAATCATGGCTCACTGCAGCCTCAACCTCCTAGGCTCAGGCAATCCCTCCACCTCAGCCTCCTGAGTAGCTGGGACTATAGGTACGTGCCACCATGCCTGGTTATTTTTATTTTTTGTGGAGACGAGGTCTTGCTAAGTTGCCGAGGCTGGTCTTGAACCCCTGGGCTCAAGCAATCCTTCCGCCTTGGCCTGAAGTGCTGGGATGACAGGCATGAGCTACTGGGTCTGGCCCACTCCAAGAGTTTCATGCATGCTTATTTTACAGTGCCTTTCTGATCTCCTATTACCTCAAGTTCTTGGGGTTTAAATTCTTCTGTTTCCTGTGCCTGATGACTATCCTTTATGTTGGGTCATTTTTTTTTTTTTTTTACATGTCTTTAACATCTTTTCCTCAATTCCTGTTCAATAGAGATAGATTTTTTCCCATGGAATTCCTGAATTACAAAAGTATTCCTACAGAAACCCTGGTGCTTGCTTATGCTAGGGCCCAGGTGTCTCCATTTCTCAGCCTACATCTGGCAGGTGGTTACTGATGGGACAGTCTTGGGGTAGGAGTGTTTTATAGGAGAACGCTTTGCTCCACTCTGAGTCCCCTGAGATGACAATCCCTCTTACTGCCTCTTTGGGCTGGTGAATAGAGTTTTCCTCTTCCTCTCTTCATGATTTGAGGTCCCAGCTGTCTGTAATGGTCTCAATTCCAACTTCCAAACTAGGAAAGCTCAGAGTCTGACTTTCAATATTTGGGCATTAAAATAAATCCCCCGCCTGCATGGCCTGTACCTGAGTCTGACATCCTTCAGGGAGGCACACATTAGCTAATTTCTGTGGCTTCAAGTTCCCTCTTCATTTCTGGTGATGAGTTTTTCTTCTCTTCTTTCCTTTTCTCCCATACTCCCTACTTCTTTTCCATCTTTCCTTTCTCTCTTTCTAGCTTAGTTATTCATTAATTTTTAAAAAATTTTCCGCTGTCCCATTTCTCCAGCATCTTTAATGATTTGTGTTACTTCTGTAATAAATACCTATTAAAATGGGGAAAAAATAGAATTCTATTTAAAAGCCATTTTTTGGCTTAAAATAAAAACAGTTGTCCCTTGGTATACATGGGAGTTTGTTCAAGGACCCCTTCATATACCCAAATCTGCACATGCTCAAGTCCCAGGTCAGCCCTACAGAACCCTTGTATATGTGGGTTTCACAACCTGTGAATACTGTATTTTCATTTGGTTGAAAAAAATCTGCACATAAGTAGACCCATGGAGTTCAAACCAGTGTTGTTCAAGGGTTAACTTTACCTGAAATAAATATAACAATAGCAAAGTAAGTATAGAGTTATCATTTCAGAAGACAAAAAAATCTAAACTAAAATTCTGGACACAACAGTGTTACCCCAGTGCCAGTGGCCTGGGACGCCTTCCTAATCTCACTGGGGTAGCCAAGAGAGCACTTGGGGGGCAGGGGGCTCAGCCCCTTTCCTCTGCACTCCCCCTGAAGGCTCAAAGAAGACAGAGAACTTGGAAAATCCCAGAGCCCTGCCCTTGACCTAAGACGACTGAGCACTTCCTTGGAGCAGCACTCACCAAGGAGAAACCCTACAGCCACCATTGTAACTGACTTTCTCCCATAAGTGCCACCTCCTGGCCAGAGATGAACAGTACAACCCTCCACACTGGATACAATACCTTAGTTTTGGGGAAAACCAGATCCTAGGTACTAGCTAACACTGTCAAAGCCACTCTGGCCACTCAGGATGCCATGAACCAGTGCAGGTACACAGCACAGGGCTGCCACAACTGGCAACTTAAGAGACTCACCACACCAAGGAAATATATAATCAAAGGAAACCTACATTTTCCACATCAGCCCCCTGCCAACCTCAAATAAGAAGAAAGCATCTACCCAAATGAGTTCTCCAACACCCCCGAAGGGCCACACCAACTCTTCTGCAATGAACCTTCAAAAGGTTGATTACAAAATTGATCAATTAACTTCAGGAGAAAATTGAAAACCAACATAAAGAAAAATTTAAAATTAAACTATTCAGAACATGAATGAAAAATTTTCCAAAGAGATAGACATTTTTTTTTTTAAAAAGCTAAAATTCTGGAAATAAAAGAAGTATTTAGGAAGTACAAAATGTGGTGGAAAGTTCTAACAGTAACCTAGAACTAGCTGAAGAAAGTACCTCAGAACTTGAAGACAAGGCTGTTGAATTAACCCAATCAGACAACAATAAAGAAAAAAGAATCAAGAGAACAGAACAAAGTCTCCAAGAAATTTGGAATTATGTAAAAAACATCCAAATCTAAGAATCACAGGTGTTCCTGAGGAAGAAGAGAAAACAATAAGTTTGGAAAACCTATTTGAGAGAATAATGACGGAAAACTTCCTTGGCCTTGTCAAACATCTAAACATTCATATACAAGAAGCCCAACGAACCCCCAAGAAGATTCATTACAACAAAGTCAACCCCAAGGCATATAATCAGTCAGTTATGCAAAGTTGATGTGAAGGAAAGAGTTTTTTTTTTTTGAGTTGGAGTCTCACTCTGTCGTCCAGACGAGTGCAGTAGCTGCTCCTGGCCACCACAGACTTGACCTGTTGGGCTCCGGTGATCCTTCTGCCTCAGCCTTCCAAGTAGCTGGAATTACAGGCATGCGCTACCATGCCCGGCTGATTTTTTGATTTATTGTAGAGATGAGGTCTCGCTGCCCAGGCGGGTCTCGAACCTGTGGGCTCAGGCAATCCACTCACCTCAGCCTCCCAAAGGCGTGGGATTACAGGCTGAGCCACCGAGCCCAGCTCTGAAGGAAAGAATTTTAAGAGAAGTGAAACAAAAACATCAAATAACTTACATAGGTAAACCTATCAGACTAACAGCAGACTTCTCAGAAGAAACCCTACAGGCCAGAAGAGAGTTGGGCCCCATCTTCAATCTCCTCAACCAGAATAACTGTTAGCCAAGGATCTTGTATACCACAAAACTAAGTTTCATAAGTGAAGGAGAAATAAAGTCCTTTGCAGACCAGCAAATGTTAAGGGTGTTTGTCACCACTAGACCAGCTCTATAAAAAAATAGTCAAAGGAGTCCTAAATACTGGAACAAAAGGTTGAAATACACCAGTAGAAAAATGCTGGAAATCATAAAGTTCACAGGTCTTATGGAATGCTAATACAATAGAGAAAATAAATAAAGCAACCAAATAACAACCGGTATGATGAATAGAACAGTACCTTACATATCATTATTAACTCTGAACATAAATGGTCTCAATGACCCTCTAAAAAGATATAGACTGGCAGAATGGATTAAAAAACACAACCCAGATATCTGCTGACTTCAAGAAACCTACTTAACTCATAAAGACTCCTATAGACTCAAGGTAAAGGCGTGGGGAAAAATATTCCACACAAAGGGAAACCAAAAATGAGCAGGAGTAGCCATTCTCATATCAGATAAAACAGACTTTAAATTAATAACAGTAAAAAAAAAGGCAAGGATGGTTATTATATAATGACTAAGGGATCAATCCAATGAGAAGACATAATTATTTTAAATATATATGCACCTAACACAAGAGCTCCCAGCTTCATAAAACAAATTCTAGGCCATTGCTTTTTAAACTCTGGTATGCCCATATAGCTGTTTGAGCTATGGCTGCCATTTCCTGGCTTTGGTCCCCCTCCTCTATTTCTCTCTCTAATTTACTTTCTAAACAAACTATATTTTCAATCTAAAACAAACAAACAAACAAAAAATCCAAATTCTACTAGACATAAAAGAAGAGATAGATATCAATACAGTAATTGTGGGAGACTTCAACACTCCACTGAAAGCAATAGACAGATCATCAAGGCAGAGAGTCAACAAGGACACATTGGAGTTAAATAGGACTCTAGAGGAAATGGAACCAGCAGACTTCTACAGATTATTCCATTCTAAAACTATAGAATGTACATTTTCCTCATCAACACATGGAGCATTCTCCAACATAGATCATATGATAGGCCACAAATCAAGTCTCAATAAAAAAAAATTCAAAATCATTTCAAGCACCTTCTCAGATCACAGTGAAATAAAGCTAAAAATTAACTCCAAGAAGAACTCACAAAACCAAACAAAAACATAAGTTAAACTAAAATTCTGTATAGGCTGTGTGCAGTGGCTCATGCCTGTAATCCCAGCACTTTGGGAGACTGAAGAGAGAGGATTGCTTGAACCCAGAAGTCTGAGACCAGCCTGGGCAACATATTGAGACTCTGTCTCTACAAAAAAATCTATAACTTGTGTGGATGTAGTGGCATGCCCCTGTAGTCCCTGCTACTCAGGAGGCTGAGGAGAGAGGATCGCCTGAGCCCAGGAGGCTAATGCTGCAGTGAGCCATGATTATACCACTGCACTCCAGCCTGGGTGACAGAGTGAGATACCAAATCCAAAAAAAAAATTCTGGGTAAACTTGGGCTGGTAACTTAACCTCATTTTCCTTATTTGTAAAATGAGGACTATAATCTATATTTTTAGGGTTGTTATAAATATTAAATAAAACAATGCATAAAAATCATTTAATATAGAACCTGGCACATAGTAAGTGCTCAAAAATTAGAAGCTAATACTGTTATTAGTAGAATGTCAGCAATTGTGGAAACCAAAGATAAAACCAGTATCAAAGAGTATATTTCACATTCCAAGAAAGAAACAACATCCAATGAAAACAAACTTGCCTTTTGTACTGGGTATGACCTTGAATTTTAAAACCTGGGAGTTTCCCAGATCGATGTATTTCACTGTGTTGAGGGTGAGTGAATCATCATTTTGAAACCAATAATTACATGGTTTTGCATATATATTCCATGATCGTCCATTCCTTTGCCCAAAGTTGTATAAGAACCAAGAGTCCTTCAGGAAGGTCACATTGTTGGGGGCTATCTTGGGCATGGTGGCAAGAGCCAGCGCATTCTTAGGATCTAAGATGCTTGTGATCAGGAGGCTACTGTAACCGGGAATCACCACAGTCTTCTCCAAATCAGTATCTTGAAACAAGACTTGAGGATCTGGAGGTGAAACAGAAAAGGTCTGGCATAAAATACAGCCAATGTTTGCCAAGCATGTCAGTGTACACAGCCAATAAACACACTATTTGAGTTTTTAAACTAGTACCTTAACCAGATAACACATTTTCCAAATTTCAGGCTATAATTAAAATGATTGTAAGGGAAATTTACCACAAATATGTCATCACCTGTACTTTTATGTTTACCATAAAACCTTTCGATAAAATTCTCAGCAGAAAAAAATATATATATATAAGTAGGGTTAAGTTAAAGAAAGTTGATTTCTGGCTAGGCATGGTGACTCATACCTGCAATCCTAGAATCTGGGAGGCCGATGCAAGAGGATTACCTGAGCCCAGAAGTTTGAGACCAGCCTAGGCAATGCAACATATAATAGCAGGACCTTGTCTCTACAAAAATTTAAAAATTAGCTGGGCGTGGTGGCACATGCCTGTAGTCCCAGCTACTGGGGAGGCAGAGGTGAAAGGACCACCTAAGCCAAGGCGGCAGAAAGCTGTGAGTATGCCACTGCACTCCAGCCTGGGTGACAGAGTAAGACTCTGACTCCTAAAAAACAAACAAACAAACAAAAAACAAGCAAAAAAGGAAAAGTGGTTTCTTTTCTATAGAATTGCTACACATTTTAGTGAGCTGAAATATTTATTGTGATTCTACAAAAGAAAGATAATATAGCCAGTGCTTTCCCAGGGCCTGCAGGTGTGCCTGGTACACAGAAGGTGCTCAAGAAATATTCACTGAATGAATGAATAATTGATTATTCAAGGACAACAGGAAGATTGAGAACAGAGAACAGAGGCTCTAGGCAAGACCTTGAGGAACACCATCACTTAGGGAATGGGAAGCGAAAAAGATCCTTTCAAGAGATGAAGAGGGAAGGGTTGAGGAAGCCCTTCAGAGGATGTCAATGATGCCAAGAGGAGTCTGTTTCAAGGAGAGGGAAGTCATCCCTTCAACACTGTTGATAGGTCGTGAAGCACATCAATATCATGAAACACATCAACAACACTCTTCTCACTACAAGAATGAAAAGATCAAATCCATCAGGAAAGAGCCTGCCAAGGCCCTTAATCTCTCTCTCTCTCTCTCTCTCTCTCTCTCTCTCTCTCTCTCTCTCTCTCACACACACACACACACACACACACACACACACACACACTCACTCTGACTTCTCGCATTTCCAACAGACCCACAAGATCCCTTCCAATATTTCTCCAACAGACACATGATTCCTTCCCTCTCTTTCATGGAGAAACTCCCTGAAAGAGGTACCCTTACTCGCTGTCTTCAAATCCTCTCTGCTCATCATTTCTTGAACCCGTTCCAAACAGATGATTGTCCACACTGCTCCCTGCTTCCTGCTACACCTTCCTCATTCACCTAGAGACATTCTCTTGGGACTCTTTTCTGCCCAGGCCACTGACTCCCTCACTGTGTCTCCTCTGTTTGCTGAAGTCTTGGGGTTGGCCTTCCTATGGCTCCATCACCTTCAGGGCTCTCATTTGGTCTCATTGACCACCCTACAGATGTTGGCGATGCTCACATCGGCATCTCCAGTCCAGATCTCTTCCTGAACTCCAGACTTGGACTTCTGAACTCCCCCTTATTCCTCCTCTTGGATGAGCAGCAGCACTGCATGCTTCATGGGCTGGGCAGCCCTGACTGCTGCAGCAGCCGGCTGGCCGACGTCTCTGCTTCCTCCTCGCCCCCCCAACCGCCTGCCCCATCCGCTCTCATCACAGCAGATGAAGCTCTTGTCAAAGCAGAAACCTGATCATGCCACTTTCTGCTCAGAGTAAAATCCAAACCCTTAGAACAAACAACACTAACGTTTGCTATGGATGTATCAGACAATCCTTTCAAATAGAAATATCCTCCACAATGGTGATTCAGAATTAGTTTACTAAGGCAGGACAAAGTCTGCACAGATGTCCTATTTTCTGATTGGATTGCTGTTTAAGACAAAATAACCTTACAGAAACAACTGACAGGCATGACTACTGATGAGATGCCAGTGAAGTCACAGGTAGGCTTTATTATATGAGAAACAAATCGATCCCCCAGAAACCAGAGTACGTACAATGTCCAGCAGGCTGCCAGCTGAACTAACAACTGAAACCTGTTGCTCTATAAATGAGCGTAGTCTTCTCAGAAGATCATTTTCCTGGCCATCGGAGATGTGCTGTACTATCATACTCACCATGTAAGTCGAGAGTGAGTTTATAGGAGGAGTTTCCAGCATGATTGACAGAAAGAGAGCTGGACAGGCAGGCGCTTTCATTTGTTTCCTCTATTCCGAAAGGATCTATCATTTCTGCAATGACTGAGGACAGAAATCCTGGAAGGGTCTCATGCTGCAGTATCTTTCTTATGTAAGCTTTTCCAGTTTTCCTACAAAGAAACAAACCATTAAGCAATTTGGATAAAACAATGACTTATGTGAGCCATTTTATGAACACATATTTTACAAACAAAGCCAGGCATGGTGGCTCACGTCTATAATCCCAGTGTGTTGGGAGGTTGAGTCAGGAGGATTGCTCGAGCCTGGGAGTTCAAGAACAGTCTGTGCAGCATAGCAAGACCTCATCTCTCCAAAAAAAAATTTTAAAAATAGCCAGGCATGGTGGTACCCAGCAATTCCACTTTGGGGGATATACTCAAAAAGAATTGAAAGCAGTGACTCCAACAGGTATTTGTATACTCATGTCCATAGAAATATTATTTGTAATATCTGAAAGGTGGATGCATCCATCAGCTGATGGATGGATAAACAAAATGTGAAATTATGCAGATACAATTAATGGAATATTACTCAGCCTCAAACAGGAAGGAAATGCTGTCACAAGCTATAATAGGGATAACGCTTGCAGACATTATGCTAAGTGAAATGCACCAATCCCCAAAGGACAAACATTGTGTGGTTTGGTGTCTGGTGAGGGCTCACTGTCTGGTTCACAGGGGAGTCTTCTACACATGTCCTTCTGTGGTGGGAGGGCCTAGCTGGCTTTCTGGGGTCTCTTTCATAAGCGCAGTCATCCCATTGATGCAGGCAGAGCCCTCATGACTGAATGTCTCCCCAAGGCTCCCCTCCTAATGGTACCCTCTCAGGAGTACGAATTCCCATGTGAATTTTGGGGGAACATGAACATTCATACCACAGCAGTGGGATTCTGTTACTCTGAAATAGTTTCTTTTCTGGTTGCTGGATTTGGGGGGTTGTAGAATTCGCATTGTCTTAGAAAAGAGCTCCTAGGCCTTAACAGCAGCTCCCAGGGCCACTGGCTTCTCCTGATACCTTGAGAGTAAGTATTCCTGAGGACTGCCTGGACCCTGCCATGTCATTTCATGAGAGGCAGCCTCCACTAGCTAGCAGGGTTGGTCTCTAGGACAGAAAGGAACTGTCATGGGAGTGGACTTGCAGTGTCCCAAGATAGCCCAGAACACGTCTGCTTCTCATGACAAGGAACACCTGTTTCTGTGGCCCAGCCTGAGGGTGCTGGTGCAAATGGCACCAGGCCTCTAAGATGGGGGCATGACGCAAGACAGCTCAAAGCCACCTATGTATGTGCTTGGCTTTGTGGGGCTCACAAAAGGCTTAATCTATTTGACCAAGGAAAGTACTCAAAGGAGGCTCAGACATTTAGACTCTAGACACCAATGTGCTATGAAAACAATCATGAGGTGAAGCTGAGTACCCGGAGTGGATCACTTTTCCATAGTGTATGTTCTTGAACTTCTTGGTGTAGACAGTGTCCCGGGGCTCGTTCTCGGGGACGTACGCAAAGAAGATCATCTCGTGTGCGGAGATGTACTGGGGGGCGAGCGCTGTCTCAAAGCCCATGTCGGGAGGCTGGAGTGGAGACAGGAAAATGCTGTATTTAGACAACTGTTTTGACGATGACAAAATTCAGGTCACAGACTTACCTCCAGCTCATGTCAAAACAACACTGTCTTCCTCAAGCTTGAGAATTCCTGAAAAGTACTCAGGCTATAAGTTATTTACAATTCTGTATGACACACAGCCTGAGACAGCAGGAGTGCCCTGTGAAATGTGAGTACAAGTTCAGGGAGAGGCAAAAAGCCCAGGGTGAATGCAGTGGCCTGATCATGGCTCACTGCAGCCTTGACCTCCTGGAGAAATACTTCAACGAGTCCTGTTTGAACATGTGTGTGCAAGGGAATATATATTTTTCTGTGGGAAGGAAAGAAACTCTGATGTCTATGACATAGTGCGGACGGCTGCAGCACCTGGGTATGCAGACACTCACTGTGTGTGTGTGTGTGTGTGTGTGTGTGTGTGTGTGTGAGTGTATGGAGCCCCGAGATGCAGACTTTAGAATTGGGTTCTCGCTGGAGTTTTGTTAGAAAAGCTCCATAAGGCCCCCTCCTCCCTGGAGAGCTGTCACCCCATCACATACTAGAGACCCCGATACCCAGGGTGGTATGGGTCTTCCTCACCTCCCACAGGCTCCCCTACTGTCAGCTGGGGCACTTGTGATTTGGATTTCTGATCGCGGGTCTTTCTTTTCAAAACACCCATCTCCAGTCCTGAGCCTGTCCAGCTCTGGGACTCCTAAGGGTGAGAAGAGAGGTGGGACCAGCCCAAAAGGATGTTAGAGCTGCCTGTGTTGCCATCAGAGGGAGTGGGTGGTGAACAGTGTGCACTGGTGGGACCCACGAGCTGGGGCCTCCAGGACATCCCCCAGCAAGGTTTTCCTCTAGTCTCTGAATTGGGGGAACCTGATGAGAAGGGAAAAGGGGAAACAAAGTCAAGGGAAACAAATGTGGGACTGAACAAATAGCTTGAGGATTCCTGAACAGTACTAAGGCTAGAAATTATTTATAATTCTGTATGACATTCTGCCTGAGACAGCAGTAGCACTGTGCAATGTAGGTGCAAGTCCAGGGAGTGGTGAAAAGACCAGGGTGGGTGACAGGGTGGGGTGGGAACGGACAGGATAGGAACAGGGCAGGGAGGGTGACAAGACAGGGTGGGTGACAGGTCAGGAAGGGTGTCAGGGCAGGGTGGGTGACAGCACATGCCCCACAGCCAGTACCTGGGATAGATGTCTGGTTTTAGGAACTACCTAGTTGTAAAATTTGGGCTACACCTTTTAGCCTTTGCCTCACTTTACTCACAAGTAAAATGGGGATAAATAGTTGTTACAAAAGTTAACAGCTCACAACAGTGCAGCAGGAGCTAGTGATTGTTATTATTGATGTTTAAGTTGGGGTCTTACTCTGTTGTCCAGGCTGGAGTGCAGTGGCACAATCAGGGCTCACTGCAGCCTCTACCTCCTGGACTCAAGTGATCATCCCACCTCAGCCTCCCAAGTAGCTGGGACTACAGTTGTGTGCCATCATCCAGTTAATTTTTAAAATTTTTTTGTAGAGACCAGGTCTCACTGTGTTGCCCAGGCTGGTCTCGAACTCCTGGGCTCAAGGGATCCTCCCACTTCAGCCTCCCAAAGTGCTAAGATTACAGGAATGAACCACAGCACTCAACCTAGTAATTATTTTTTTTTATCAGAGAAGACGCATGCACAGCTTGTTGGAGAGAGCATTGTTGAGTGTGGGTTCCTCAAGCTTGTCTTGAGTATGGAAATACCTGCCGAGTTTATTTTAATAATCTAAACTTTCATATAAGGGAATTAAATCACTGTCTACAAATTGCGAAGTTTGTAGAAATTGAGGTAGCTTAGCTGCTCTTTGGTTAGTTCCACCCTCCTGCTTACATAAATCACTTTGTATCTGTGCAGAATCCTCACTCCAGACTTGAGCAAGTCCCCAGGGTCCTGTGGTGGCCTCTCACTCTCCTGTGGAAGTCTCGCCCTCACTCCGGATGCAGATCTCAGAGAAAGCTAAAACTCCTCCTCTCAACTGCGGTCTTGGCCTGGCAATTGGAATAATCTTTTATTTTATTTTTTTTCCCCTGAGTCATCATAGAAAATGGAATGATCTTTTAAAACTAGAATCAACCTTTGTTGTTTCCCTTAAGCCAAAGGGCAGGTTTGATTAAACCCTGCTCAAAAGTGCTGAATTATTTGCTGAGAGCTTGTGAGAGTGCGTTTTCATGACTGTGTGTCCCACAATGAGCTCTTGGGTGTATAGACTTTCACATATTTATAAAAACTGGCATCTGGTGTCATCTGTGAAGGGGAGAATTCCTTTCTATGCTGGCATTTGAGAAAGGGAAATTGAGAGATGAGGAAAGTCAACCAGACTCATGTTTCTCCAGGGCCAAGCTGGAGAAGCAGAGAACCAGTCCCCCGGACCTGGGGTTGGGGGGTGACAGATCCATCTCAGTGTCAGGGTGCTCCTCCCTGAAGTGTCTACATCAAGACATCCTCGGTGGAGTCAAAGCTTTCAACCCTGGTGGGAGGTGAAAGTTTTGGAGATATTCTGTGGCTTGGAGAGGTGTTTCCTGTAGTTAAATAGAGCAAAGTGGCCGGGTGTGGTGGCTCATGCCTGTAATACCAGCACTTTGGGAGGCCGAAGTGGAAGGATTGCTTGAGCCCAGGAGTTCAAAACCAGCCTGGGCAACATAGTGGGACTGCGACGCTACAAAAAATAAAAGAAATTAGCTGGGCATGTGGCACATACCTGTAGTCCCAGCTACTGAGGAGGCTGAAGAGGGAGGATCACCTGAGCCCAAGAAGTCAATACTGTGGTAAGTCATGATCATTCTACTGCACTCCAGCCCAAGTGAGACCTTGACTCAAAATTAAAAAATAGAGCAAAGTACATTAATAAGAGTTTGTCCTAAGGAAAATGCCTTCCTGTTTTCCCATTATTCTATATATTCAAGCTGGCATCTATTCGTGAAATAAACAGTTTCAATGCACGATGTCACTGACCTGCCCAAAAAGGTTCCTGTATTTCCCAAAGGCTGCAGGGGACCCACTGGCTTCAGAGTGGTCTGGAGTGATCTTGTGCATGAAGCCCAGGTGATCATAGTACAGTGTGAAAATGCTGTCAATCACACTTCCCACCATGTTGTATCTTCTCAATCCTGTCAAAAAACACACAGGAGGCTCTCAATAGTGACGTGATACAACCAAAAAACTTGAAGCCCCAACCCTTGCAAATGCCTCTTCATTTGAACCGAGGGGTGGAAGTAGGGGGGTGGGAGAGCCCTGAATGCAGAGAACACACTCCCTTGTGCTGGGTGCCTTGGGAGTCTCTTCTGGGCTGTGGGGCCCCACCAACTGAACCAGTTCCCAGAAGCAGGACTACAGGGCAGAGGGAGGAGCTCAGGGTAGGACCCAGCAGGAGCAGGGTTGGCTCTGCTGGAAGGGCCTCTCTCTCTGACACCCGCAAATCAAGCTTCTCCAGCCCTGACCCTCTCAGTCACCCCGACCTCCTCCTCATCCCTCCTCCTTCACACAACCCCCCCCCACACACATACCCGTAGCCCAGGCCTCCTCCTCATCCTCCCTCCCCCATCTCCCCTGCCCACCCAGTTAAGCTCTGGCTCTCCTGCTCATTCTCCCATCCTTACCCTCATGCCCACCTGGTTAGTCCAGCCTCCTCACCCCCGCTCCTTCTCTCACCCCGACCCTGCCGCTGAGTGCTCAGGCCTCGGTTCTTAGGATGCTTCTCTCACTGTCATTGGAGAACTCACCTAGTTTTAGGATTTTAAGTCCACCATTGTATGGATGATCTCCAAATCTGAATCTGGCACTGAGTTCTCTTCCTTCAGGGACTTCAGGTCTAGACTTCCATGTCCAGCCTCCTACCTACAGCTTCAAGCCAAGGCCGGGCCTCTCAGACTGACTCCATGCAGACCCGAATGCAATCTCCACACAAGCCTCTGGCACCCAAGGAGGCCTCTTTGCCCCATTCCTTGGTGCCCCTCGCAGTTCCTCTTTCTGTCACAACCTAATCTAACCCATCAGCAGCTCCTATAGACTCCAGACCCAAGATACAAGCAGAACCAACCACTTCCCACCTCTGCCGTCCACATCTCTCTGTAGAAGTCACCACCCTCTCCTTTGTGCCTCCTAATTGGTTTCCATGACTCTGACCTCAGCCCCTTCAGAGCATTCTCAAAAGAGCGGTCAAGATGGGACTTTTTAATTTGCTTTTTGAGTCTGAATCTCACTCTCTTGCCCAGTTTGAAGTGCAGTGGCATGATCATAGTTCACTGCAGCTTTCACCTCCAGAGCTCAGGTGATCCTCCCACCTCAGCCTCCCAAGTGCATACATGTCTGGCTACTTTTTCTATTTTTTATAATGATGGGGTCTCATTCTGTTGCCCAGGCTGCTCTCGAACTCCTGGACTCAAATAATCCTCTCACCTCAGCCTCCCAATTTGCTGCTGTGCCCAGTTCTCACATACATATATATGTGAGAGAATATATATATATTCCAGATACATGCAGAACCAACTACTTCCTGCCTCTGTCACCTGCGTCTCCCTATACAAGTCACCACCCTCTTCCTTGTGCCTCCTAATTTGTCTCTGTGACTGCCCTCAGCCCCCTTCAGATCATTCTCAAAAGAGCAATCAAGACACTTTAAACATGCCAGTCACTCCATCCACTCCCATCATCCAAACTCTTCACAGCTCCAACCTCTCTGTGTCAAAGTCAAAGTCCTCATAAGACCTCAGGGCCTCCAAGTTCTGGACTCTGACCTAATCCTGTCACCTTCTGTGCCACACATTCTGCTGTGCCTGCAAGAGCCCAGCCATCCACATCCATAGTTGTAGCGTCTGTCACAGGGACAGCCCTGCCCCTGTCTGGTCACTTAGGTGGTGTGCTGACCGGGTCACTGCCTCTGTTGCTCCTGCCTCCACCCCCTACACGCGGAGCAGGAAGGACTGAGGAGGGAGGATACCCCAAGGCACCCTGCCAGCACTACTACCTCCACCCCTGCCCCCTATAGGTCAGGACATCCTAGGGAAAGGATGCCCTATACAACATGTGCTGGTAGAACAGGTTGGCCACATGCAGGTGGGTGAAGTTGGGGCCCTGCCCATCACCCCAGGCAAATCTTAACTCAAGGAAGACCCCAAGCCAGGAAAACCCCAGAAGAAAGCCTAGGACACACGTCCTGGTCCTCACCTCAGCAGTGAAAGCATGGCCACGCCCTCAAAGAAAAACGCAGCAAAAACTAACATTTGACAAGTGGAGTCTTATCAAGTTCAAAAACTTCTACTCAGCAAAAGAAGCCATCGACAGAGTAAAGAAATAGCCCATAGAATGGAAGAAAGTATTTTCAAACTATGTACTCAACAAAGGCCTCATATCCAGAATCTATAAGGAACTCAAATGAACCAAAGAGATGAAAAAATAACTCTGTTCAAAGGCAGACAAAGGGCGTGAACAGACACTTCTCAAAGGAAGACATCCAGGCAGCAGCAAACTTGAAAAAATTCTCAACTTCACTAATCATCAGAGAAACACAAATCAAAACCACAGTGAGATACCACCTTGCACCAGTCGGATAGGCCATTATTAAAAAGTAAAAAAAATACATGCTGGCGAGGTTGGGAGAAAAGGGATACCCACATGCTGTTGGTGAAAATGTCAACCAGGTCAGCTGCTGTAAAGAACAGTATGGAGATTTCTCCAAGAACTAAAAATAGATTCAACCTAGAAATGGCACTACTGGGCGTCTACCCAAAGAAGCATAAATCATTCTACCAAAAAGACACCTGCACTCATATGTTGATCGCAGCACTATTCACAAAAGAACATGGAACCAACCCAGGTGCTCATCAGTGGTGGACTGGATAAAGAAAGTGCAGTACACACACACCAGCCATAAAAAAGAATGGAGCCATGTCCTTTGCAGCCACATGGATGCAACTGGGGGTCATCCTTTCTAAGTGAACTATCACAGAAACAGAAAAGTGAATACTGTGTATTCCCACTCCTAAGTAGGAGCCAAACACTGGGCCCACTAGGCATAAGGATGGGAACAACAGACACTGGGGACTTCTAAGGGGGGAGGGGAAGAGAGATGAGGGTTGAAAAACCACCGTCGGGTACCACGCTTGCCACATGGGGCGTGGGCTCAACAGACCAGCATCGCGTAATGCACTCAGCTAACAAACCTGCACATGTGCCCCTTGAATCTAGAAAGAAGATGAGCTCAGACAGGGTGAGGCTGGGTCCCACATCAGTGACTGGTGTCCTTGCAGGAGGAGGAGAGGACCTCACGGTGCATAAGGAGAGTCACGTGAGGACAGAGGAGAGACTGGACTATACGGGGGGAGGGGGCTGCCAGGAACCTCCAGGAGCTGCGGGAAGCAAGGAGGGATCCTCCCTCCAGCCTCCAGAGCTGAGACAGAATGCATATGGGCTGCTTTAAGTAAAAAAAAATTCATAAATATTTCCTCAAAAACGTATGTAGTCAGGGCTTTTCTTATCGCAGTGAAACTCTGCTGATAACCTCACTGAGGTTCAACGTGCCACATTCCACTGACATCCTAAGTTACACTCATTTCCCACTTTAACACCTCAGGGGCTGAGACAGTCTTCTAACTGGCATGTCTTACAAGCACTGTCCACCAGAGGACACTCATGCCACACAGTCAGTGGTCTACCATTTGGCTGCTTCTGCTGGCCTCAGTTGAATTCTGGAGTCACCGGTGATCTGTATTGCAGTTTGAAATGCCTTCAGCAATACTATAATTTAGCATTGAAAGTAAGTCACTGTGGGTACAGCAAGAGAACAAAGCAACAAACACATTTACCAATAAAGTTGGCGTTACTGGAAGGATGACCACACCTCCACGTTTTCTTGTAGGAAACCACCAAGTATTTCATAGGCCCCAAGGAAGGAAGAAACCCACGTGCAGATGAAAGCTGTGTTGTGTTTGACTTCTAAGATACACACACGACCGTCTGTTCACGTGCCAGGCATTACCATTACAGATAGGAGGGAAAGATCAGAGCAATTCAGGCATTCGGGCTTGGTGTTGAAGCTGGATTGGAAGGGCTTTGCTCTGTTTAATAGAACAAAGTGCATCCTTACTCAATGAAATCCGTCTGTCTGTCTATCTACCTATCATCGATCTATCTATCATCTATCTATTAATCTATCTTCTATCACCTATTATTTATCATCTGTCATATCTACCATCTATTTATCTATCAATCATCTATTTGTCAATCATCAATCCGTGTATCTGTCTATCTTACTCCTTTAAGCAAAGGGACTGTACCATTTTTCTTCTGTTGCTGCTCTCTGGATATTTTAATTGACTTACTTTCAATGCTAAATTATAGTATTGCTGATGGTTCCATTACCCATGCCCACCCCTCCACAAATAGTCTCCTTAAAGGTTCTCCAGATGAGACACCTGAGTGGAATTACATTTCTTGTCAGGTCCAAAACTGATACTGTATTTTTACCTAAAATGTTCCTAGGTCATAGTATATAGAGCTGGGAATCTGGGCCTAAGTTGCTTCTATCTTTTATTTTTTTTTTTTTGAGACAGTGTCTTGCTCTGGAGTGCAGTGGTGCCATTATAGTTCACTGCAGCCTTGATCTCTTGGGCTCAATGATCCTCCCTCTTCAGCCCAGCCAGTAGCTGGGACTACAGGCACATGCCACCATACCCAGCTAATTAAAAAAAATTTTTTTTTTTTGTAGAGACAGGGCCTTGCTATGTTGTCCAGGCTGGTCTTGAACTCCTGGGTTTAAGTGATCCTTCCGCCTCGGCCTCCTGAACCATTGAGATTACAGGTATGAGGCACAGTGTCTGGCCTGCATATCCCCCTAATGAATGCACAGATGGATGTCTGTGGAGGGCAAAATTTGTGGTGATCCAGTGGGGTAGTTGCATTGATGACAGTGACAAACATGGTTTTCATGAAGACTGGGTGGCATGACTAACACACACACATGCACCCAACATGCATGGGTACACACACATGCATACATGTGCACACACATGTATATACACACACATGTGCACATACACTTAGGATCTTGAACTTCCAATTTGAGGCCAGAGTAGAGTCTCTGGCACCCATATTGGGGAAAATTAATCTCACTTCATAACTTACAAAATCAGAGATTTTACATTTGACATATATATGAAATCTAAAGCAACAATCAGCTAGAAGAAAACAGAATAGCTTCATAACTTTGGGACAGGCAAAGGATTCTTAAACAACACAAGAAGCAAAATGTCCCAACCATACAAGAAAAGATTGATAAATGGAACTTTTAAGCATTAATAATTTCTGTTTAAGAGATACCATGAAGAAGATAAAAAAGGACAAGCCACTAATTGAGAGAAAATATCTGCAAGTCATATTTCTAACAAAGAACTCCTATCTGTAATTGATTAAAAACTCATAGAAATCAATTAAAAAGTCAATCTAATCAAGGGGGAGCCACTTCAACCCCCTCACTCTGCTGGCTGAAGAGCAAATTGATACAGTCACCTTGGAATAAAGTTGGCAGCACTTAAGATACTTTTCTACAAAAAATGAAACCAACGTATCTTTGTGACGCAACATTCCGTTCCTAGGTATACAGCTACCAGACAAGAAGGCTTATGTCCAGCACAAGACTTATCCAAAAGTGTTCATCACTGCATCATTTATAACAATACCCAAATGGAAACAACACAAATAGCCATCAGCAGTGGAATGGGTGAATAAATTATAGTATATTCATACAACAGAAGTCTGCACAACAATGAAAAATAACCGACTAATCCATTCAACAGGCTTGTTTTGTTTTGTTTTGTTTTGAGTCAGGGTCTCATTCTGTGGTCCAGGCTGGTGTGCCGTGGCACAATTATGGCTCACTTCAGCCCTGACATCCTGGGCTCAGGTGATTTTCCTGCCTCAGTCTCCCAAGTAGTTGAGACTACAGATGCATGCCACCACGCCCGGCTAAATTTTGACTTTTTGTGGAGATGAGGTCTCATTATGTTACCCAGGCTGATCTCAAACTCCATGGCTCAAGTGACCCTCCCACCTTGGCCTCCCAAAGTGCTGGGATTACAGGCATGAGCCACCACCCTGGCATAGATTTTTCACTTATCTTTGAATCCCTAGCCCCAATGGAGTACTTATGTCAGTGAAGGCAAATTCCTTACCTGCCTTTGTGACGAAAACCTGTCTACTCTGGGAAACAAAAGTAATATCTTGAGTATAAAAACTATGAAAAGTGTCCTCTATGACATCGTCATGAAAGTCAGCTAGTAATTCGAAGGTATTGCCGCCATCTACTGAAAGCCAGACCTGCAGAAACACAGGGACAATAGCACCTCACTAAAGAGTGCCTTGCAAGGTGAGCAGCTATCTGTCACTTAAGCTTCCTACATAAGTCACACACACAGGTGTACTCACATAGGCTTATGCACGCAGGCATATGCGCACTCAGGTACACGCATCCTGGAGTCTGCACAGCCATGTTTGTGGCAGAACATCAGGTCTGCATGGTGAGAGCACAGACAACAAAGTAATTTCATCATCTCATAAAAGGACGAATATGGGTATGTTAGAGTGTGCCGAAGGGTTGACTCCAGAGGATACAAACTTCCAGCTTGGGCATCCAGCAGACGTGCTGACATTCTGTGTCATGGCCAGGCTGTGTCCTGGGATCTTCATAACCCTAATCACTGATCCCACCATTGCATTCTATCCTCTACTTTCCCATCTTTGGGTGAGAGTCACTTGAGGATAAACTCATCGATCATGAAGTGGGTGGATCCTGTCTGCTCCTCTGTAAGCAGCTTGAGTCACATTCAAGTGGATTTAAAAATTAATTTTAATAAAAAATTGCACTTGAAAATAGGCTTTCCTTAAATTCAAGCCTTTATAAATGTGGCTGAAGTGTCCTGAACCACCATATAAACAGCTCTCCTCCCATACCTCACCAGATACAGTCCTGGCCTCTCCTCTCCCTTCCTAAAGGTGTTAATTTCTTCTTTTTCCTTTTTTTTTATGTTGGGGTCTCACTCTGTTGCCCAGGCTGAAGTGTAGTCGCATTAACATGGCTACCGCAGCCTCAAACTGCTGGGCTCACATGACCCTTCTGCCTCAACCTTCTGAGTAGCTGGAACTACAGGCATGCACCACCATGCCTGGCTTATTTTTTGATTTACTATAGAGATGTGGTCTCACTATGTGGTCCAGGCTGGTCTCAAACTCCTGGGCTCAGGCAATCCTCCCACCTCGGCCTCCCAAAACGCTGGGATCAAAGAGCCTCTGTGCCTGACCTCTTTGTTCTTATTTTGTCTTCCACTCTTTCTGCCTTTTGTGGTTTTAACTGAACATTTTATATGATTCCATTTTCTCTCCCTTGTTAGTCAATTGGTTTTACTTAAAAATTTTTTGATGTGGCAGTGCTAGTTTTGCAATATACATTTACAATGATTCCTTGTCCACTTTGCGATAACACTGCACCATCGGTTGTGTGAACACTGTGTAAGAACAAATAATCCTGGTTCTTCCCTCCTGGCTCTAGCATCATTGCTGTCTAGCAGCAAGGATATACTAAAGCATCCATCAGAAAATAAATACATGTATATCAAATACATTGTTGCTACTATTCTGAACAAACTGCTATTTGTTAGTTCAATTACCACTAACCAAAGACACTTTTTACTGTACCTTCCCTTGTCCCTCCCCAGCTTAGATCCATGTTTCTGTCTTTTATCCAATCTTCCTTCTTGCTAAAGTGTTTTAATAACGATATTTCTTACAAGGAAGTTATACTGGCAACACATTTCCTTTATTTTTGCTAGTCTCAGAGTATTTCTCCTTCACTTTTAAGGGATAACTTTTCAGGGTCCAACATTCTTGGTTAGTGGTTTCTTCTCTCCAGCATCTTCTCTCCTTGCCTGTGGATTTCCTGAGAAGTTGGATGTAATTCTCATCTTTGCTCCTCTAGAGGAAAGATGTTTTTCCCCCTTTATTTTCTTTCAGAATTGTTCTTATCTTTGTTTTATTGAAGTTTGAAAATAATATGCCTAGGTTTTTTGTTTTGCATTTATCTCACTCAGTGCTTTCTGACGTTCCTGGATCTGTGGTTTGACATCTGGCATTAATTTGGGAGAAATTATCCATCATTGTTTCAAATATTCCTTCTGTTCTTTTTCTTCTCCTGAAACTCTCCTTACGTGTATTTACACCATTTGTAGCTGTCCCACAGTTTGTCAATATTCTTTTCTGGTTTCTTCCCCAGTCTTTTTTCTCTTTGATTTCAGTCTCTGGTGGCTTCAACAAAGAGATCTTGAAGTACAGACTCTTTCTTTAGCCATGTTCCACCTCCTAATGGCCCCTCAAGAACATTCTTAGTGTCTGTTATGGTGTTTCTGTTCTCCAGCATTTATTTTGGGTTGTTTCTGGAATTTCCCTCTCTCTGCTTACATTGTACACCTGTTCTTGCATGCCATCTCCTTTACCCTTCAAAGTCCTTTGCACTGTAATCATAGTTGTTTAAATTCTTGGTCTGATCATTCCAACACCCCTGCCATAGGTGAGTCTGGTTCTGATGCTTGTTCTATCTCACTAAACTGTGTTTTTGCCTTTTAGTACATCTTGTCATTTTCTTCCTGATAGCCAGGCATGATGTAGTTGGTGAAAGGAACTACCATGAATAGGCCTTTGGTGATGTGGTGAGAAGGTGTTGGGGGAGAGGATGTACTTTATTGTCCTGTGAGCAAGACCTGGTTTGTCAGGGCACCTGTCATCTGAGCCATCAATGTGACATGTGTGTCTCAGCCTTCTCCATCTTTGGTGGGGATGGACAACTAGAAGGAGTGGATCAGGCATCTCCCTCCCACAGGGCAGAAGCTCTGGTGAAGTAGCTTGTCAGAATGACAGACCTTACTAAGAAGAACAGAACCATCTGCTGCTTCTCTGGGGTCCTTTCCCATCTCCTGCCAGAGCACAGGCGTTTTCTCTAATATTCAGTGTGAGGATCTGGTGGAGCTGCTGAAGGCACAGCTCACAGAGTGCGGGGCCCAGTGCTCGCCCCAGGGGTTCTCGTCTCTTGGACTTATCCACACTGTGTCCCCAGCAGTTGGCCAGCCACAGCCTGGCTGGCTGTACCCTGGCCCTGGTCTCTGCAGAGGTTGTGTTCATAGACTTCTACCTCAGCCTCTGTTCTTGCCTGCTGGCCTCTCCAATTCTGGTTGGCCCCAACCGACCCCCTCCACCCCACCCTGCCAGATCTAAGAAGAGTTGTTGCTTTTTAGTTTTTTCAGCTTTTTACTTACAAGGACAGAGTGGCAACTTCTAGCTTCCAACACACCCACCCGGGAGCCGCAAGTCCTCTCCAGAACCTTCATCCTGCAGAACTGAGACGCCATAAAAAGCTTCCCTTTCCCCGCTGCTTCTGCTCCTGGCAACTACCATTCTACTTTCTGTAAATAGAAACACTGATTTGACTACATTAGGTAACTTGTACAGGGGGGATCCCCCAAAATACCAGAATTTATTTATTAAAATTGTATATTTATTCTTCCATGTTTAAACTTCAGAGTACCCTCCATCTGATGCAATACGCCTATCGTGGTGCTTTTTCCACTACTCAAAACAGTTTTTGAATATGTCAATTTTGATGTCTTTTGGTGCTTCTGCTGTTTTTTGTTTCTCCTCTTCCACGTCACCAAAACATTTCCCTTTGAGGACTTTTTCACCCAGGGAAACAACAAAACGTCACTTGGGGTGAGATTGGGTAGGGCATAGGGGCCATGCCGTTTAGGGTCAAAAACTGCTGCACGCAGCACAGTGTGGGTAGGTGTGTTGTCATGGTGGAAGAACCAGTCACCTGTTTGCCACAACTCAGGACGTTTCTTTTGCAAATTGTGACACAACCTTCTCAAAACTTCCAGATAAAAACTTTGGATGACGGTTTGATCCAGAGGAACAAATAGTGAGTGTACCACAAAAGCACTGTCCTCCAAAAAAGATAATTCTGGTCTTGTTTAGGTCCTCCATATGAGGAAACTGTGCAGTATTTGTGCTTCTGTGACTAGCTTATTTCAGTTAGCATAATGTGAGCCATCAGGGTTCACCCATGTTGTAGCATATGTCAAGAGGTCCTTTTTTTTTTTTTTTTAAGACTGAGTAGAATTCCATTATATGTATACAGCACATTTTGCTTATCCGGTCACCTGTTGAGGACATTTGGGTTACTTCTGCCTCTTGGCTATTGCGAATAGTGATGTTATAAACATGGGTATGCAAGTACTTCTTAAAAATCTTGTTTCAATTCTTTTGTGGATATACCAGGGAGCGAGATTGCTGATCGGATGGCATTTCCACTTTTAGCTTCTTGAGGAGCCACCGTACTGTTTTCCACAGTGGTTCTCCACTTCCCAGTCCAACCCACAGCACTTGCCATTTCCTGCTGTTTTGACAGGAGGTGTCCTGGGTGTGAGGTAATCTTCATTCTTGCTTTGGTTTGCATTTCTCTAGTGACTAGTGAGGCTGGATGTCTGTTCACATGCTTGTTAATCATTTGCATGTCATCTTTAGAGAACTGTCTCTAGATCTCTCTCCTCGTCCAGCACACAAGAAACAGTCAATCCTCCCTCTCTTGGTTATCATCTTCCCGCCCATCTCAGAGCACCCTGTCCTTGTGTGCACCCACTCGGTGCCAAGCGAGCACAGAGTAACCTCTCCCAGGAACGTGGACTTTCACATGACACACCTGATTGCCATAGGCATACAGAAAGTGACTTCGAGGGTGGAACACCATTCCAATGGGAGACGAGAATGATGGCGGGAACTGGAAGGGTGGGAATTTCGGTTTTAAACTAGGCTGGTTATTTCTCAAGATGCTCACAAAGGCAGAAGCCATTCCCTGGACCTGGGTGAACACAGCAAGAACAGGTCGTGAGAGTTTCATCCTAATGTTATTAGGCCATTCAGTAATTTTTGGACTTTCCTGTTACCTGAATTTTTATTAAGAGAGGGACACATCAATGAACATAGTGCAGAACTACAAGATTTGCTGCCTCTGAGCTCTGCTGCCTCTGTACCCATCTGACAGAAGTTGAAAATGAAGGTTGGGGACTAAACAATTTGCCCAAAGTCCTAGAATAAATGGCAAATCGAAATTTACGAGAGACATTTCTGAACTCAACAATGCCTGTGCACATAACTACCATGCCAAACATGTGGATGCCAGGATCCTGATCTTGAAGGACTTGAGTATGACACCCAAAAACATGCCACTTTTGTATAAAGATTATTTTAAGTTGAAGACTTTTGATATTCAGCAAATGCACTAAAAAAACACAACCTTCCAAGAACTTCCTTGCCTGACTAAAGCAACAACTTCTGGGAAATGAGGCTGCCAGAAATCCTTCTGTGAAGCAGACCTACTCCCAGGAGGGAGAATGAAATAAAGCCTGCCCCAAGTCCCTTCTGGGGGTTGTGTGGCTCTGAAGGTGAAGAAAAGACTGTTCATACCTGACCAGACAAACACGCTCAAACACACCTGTTGTCTTGTTTGTTCTTCTGATAACTTACTTATCTTTCCAAAAAAGTTGTTTTTCCATAAGTGCCTTTCTCCCTCTCCCCTTCCCCAGCTAAGATGGCATATGAGCCCCTAATTTTAGCCACCCCTTTGAGTTACTCATCACTGAGTTTCCCCCATGTAGAGGCACACTGCACATATATACACACTGCTTTCTTTTCTCCTACTAATTCACCTTTCTCCAGCTTACTTTGCAGGGCTCCAGGCATCGAACTTCACAACGTAGAGGAAAGTATTTTCCTCCCCTACCATCTTGAGGACAGATACTGGACATATGTCTGTTTATCTAGAGACAGGGTCTCACTCTGTTGCCTAGGCTGGAGTGCAGTGGCACAGCCATGGCCCACTGCGGCCCCCAACTCCTGAGCTCAGGTGGTCTTCCCACCTTCCCGCTCAGGTTACAGACTTGAGCCCTCACCCCTGATTAATTATGTATTTTTTAATGGCCCTAAGAATAATTCTAATTCATAGCTAAGGTGAAGGATCTTTGGAAAAGAAAATATAGATCTCTGGCACCCTGTTCCATTTTTTCCACTTTTACTAACCATTTTATGAAACAATACATTTATACATAGAAAACCCAGCTTATAGTCTCCTGAAGAATTAGCAAGGAGAGTCACTCTGCAAACAGCATCGCGGTTTCTAATTTCATCAAACTGAGTGACAATCAGAGGTGAGAAACAACTCCCATCCAAGGACCAATGGGGCCCAATCCTGCTTAGCTTCCGAGATGGGATTGGGTGCAGTCAGGGTGCTGTGGCCATGAACCAGAGGTGAGAAACATCTCAAGTGCTGACTGCATATTCAACCTTAAGCAACTTTTCTGTAGCCAATGATATCAAGTTCTATTGCCAAAGACACCAAACACTTGAAAACAGCTTCTGTGAATGTAAATTGTCATCGTCATGGTGTCAAGAGTAATCACCTCTGGAGCCAAGCCTACCTGGTCATACAGAAGGTAAACACCAGTGCCATACTCCTGGTCCACAAGAAATGTGATCACATCTGGGAAAATGTTTCTCATTCCTCTTAAAATATAAGGGGAACAAGGCACCCACTGCAGAAATGGTTCTTTACTATAGAAGCAAGAGCTTGCCTGTGGAAAGAGAGAAAAAACTGATGCTCTTTTCGAACTATGACTCTGAGCTCGTTTTCACAGGAAAACACACTCATCGGCCATCATTCCCTTCCTACTGACCACACGTCTTCTGTGGCCATCTTGAACATTCGTGCCTCTCCTCTAAGGGACTCAAGTCCAGAAAACACTGTCCAGCATCTCTTGCTGGTGTGACTTGTTCTAAAATCATCCTAACATGATTGGGTAACTACCATTAAACCCAGCTTCACTTGGAGCAGAGTGACTGGTAAGCCTATCAGTCAGTCAGAACTGCCAGTTTTTAGATTAATAATGATCCATGAAACCATGTACATTTCTTCCTTCCCTCCCTCTCTCCTTCCCTCCCTCCCTCCTTCCTTCCTTCCTTTTCTTTTTGAAACAGGGTCTTGCTCTGTGGTCCAGGCTGGAGTAAAGTGGTAGTCTCTGGAGTAGCTGGGACTACAGATGAGCACCACCAGACCTGGTAAGTTTTTCATTTTTATTTTGTAGAGGCAAGGTCTCACAAGTTGCCCAGACTGGTCTTGAACTCCTGGCCTTAAGCTATTCTCCCTCCTCAGCCTCCCAAAGTACTAGGATTATAGGCATGAGCTGCTAAGCCCAGCAAAATTTCTTACCTTATAAAATATTAAATATCATACCTCACTTAGGGTCTTGTTTCTACGAAAGGTGATAGTTACATAATCAACTATAAAATATAAAGGTACAGAAATTATGAGCACATCTATATTTCTTAAATGTGAAGAGTTAGTGTTAATAAAATACTGTTCATAAAAATAACAGAATTATATGTCATTAATTAATGTATACTCAAATATACTTTTCTTACACTCATAGCAGGTGGACCTGTTATATCAGATTTAAGTTACATTTTTTAATTCAGTTTTAGGTCATTAATTTACACAAAACAAACATAATTTTACATTTTATTCTATTTTTAGATTATGCAATTTTATTAAATCTATTTGTGTTATCTATATTGCTAAAAACCTTTTTATTTTTATTTTTAGTCAGGTCTCACTCTCTTGCCAGGGCTGAAGTGCAGTGGCACAATCATGGTTCACCATAGCCTTGACCTTCTGGGCTCAGGCGATCCTCCCACCTCAGCCGCCAGAGTAACATGAAGTACAGGTATGCGCCACCACATCTGGCTAATTTTTTTGTACAAATGAGGTCTCACTATGTTGCCCAGGTTAGCCTTAAACTTAACTTAAGCGATCCTCTCACCTCCACCTCCCAAAGTACTAGGGTCATAGGCATGAGCCATTGCACCCCGTTGCTAAAAGCCTTTTAGTACAGTATATCTTTAACTAAAATTTACCTTCAAAGTGTTCTCTGTTGGCAAAACATCTCTCATTATACCATAAATTTCCTGTGATGTAGTCTGTCTACATAAATAAACAGAAATATTATTTAGGTAATAATAGTTTTAAGATACAAAATCAGAAAAACTTCAAAAATGTCCAAGTTGGTAGCTCAGGAAAGTGAAGTAAATAGAGAAAGACTGTGTGCAAATAAAAGGGTTGTGAAATGAAGACAAGAAACAAGAGTATACTTTTTCTTTTTTTTTTTTTTTTTGAGTCAAGGTCTTGTTTGTCACCCAGGCTGGAGTGCAGTGGAATGAACATGGTTCACCAAGCCTCCAACCCCTGGGATCAGGTGATCCTTCTACCTCAGCCTCCTGAGTAGCTTGGACTACAGGCATGTGCCACTAGGCCTGGCTAATTTTTCAAATTTTTTGTAGAGACAAGGTCTCACTAGGTTGCCAGGCTGGTCTCAAACTCCTGGGCTCAAGCAATCCTCCCACCTTGGCTTCCCAAAATGTTGGGATGACAGATGTGAGCTGCCATGCCTGACCAAGAATATACATTTTGAACAATACATAAAAAAGGAATAGAAAGAAAAGAAATTGTACATGAATTAGCCTATGCTAACAGCAGGTGCCCTTGTCTTTTTGGAGCTGCCAGAAGTTGCTGGCCTTTCATCAGTCAGTGGGTTGCATGTTTATCTTCAGTTCCTCATCAGCTGAAGTGGGTTTATGGAGCCTTTACAGAAGCCTGCCAGCCACAAGAAGCAACCCTGGTTCTGAAAACTGATCATGAGAGTGAAGCTTCAAAGAGAGTGAGAGTGTCTATGTTAGTTGTTAGCTAGATGCAATGGTTTTGTTATAGAAAGTTCCTGACCTTCAAGTTACTCTTGCGACAGAGGAAACCCTTATGCTTTTGTAGACTGTTATAAAATCTGTGCAATTTGTGCATAAAAAGCCTTTGCTGCCATCTCATGATAAAACCTGAGCAGATGAGGAGTGGCTTCTGTGGATGAGCCAAGAAAGCGTTCATTGAGGTGGAACCTACTCCTGGTGAAGACGCTATGAGCATTTTTGAAATAACACAGGACTGAGAAAGTTCTGTCAACTCGTTGATAAAGCAGGTGGGGTTTTAGAGGATGGACTCCAATTGTGAACAAAGGCTCTATGCTGGGTAAAATGCTGTCAACCAACACCAATGATACGGAGAAGTCATTTGTGAAGGGAAGAGTTCACAGATGTAGCAAACATCATTGTCTTATTTTGAGAATAAAGATGGTACCTGTGAAGGGCGGGGAAAGTGGGGGTAGGGTCACAGCACACATCTCTAGATAACGTGTCTGTCTTTCTACTACGTAAGTGTATTACCCATTTGAACATAATAATTTGTAGGTGACGACGATTCTCATTCCCTTGTAACACATCCTTCCTTTCTGTAGACTGAATATTTATGTTCACATGTTAAAGCCTAATGTCTGATGGTTTTTGGAGGTGGGGCCTGAGGGAGGTGATTAAGTGGATGAAATTAGTGCCCTCATAAAAGGGAAACCATGGAGACCCTGTGGCCCTCCACCCTGGGGAGACAGGTAATAAGATGGCTGTCTCTGACCCATAATGGGCCCTCAGTGACATGGACTCTGCCTGCACCTTTACCTTGGACTTTCTAGGCTCTAACACGATGAGAAATACACGTCTATTCTTTAAACGCCTCCCAGCCTATGGTAGCTCTGTTATAGCAGCCCAAATGAACTAAGATATTTCTGTTCCAAAAGTTGTTACCTCGTATGCTATTTCGATGTCTATGGAAAACACACAAGTAGATATCGGATAAAGTGAGAGAGGTGGTCAGACACTGCTCACTACTCTTTCTTCTCATCATCTTCCCTTGTACTGAAACACCTGTCTATATTCATTTATCTTGTTAAAGCTCTTGAGCATTTTCCTTAGTTGGGATAACTGAGTTGTATTCTCTTTAAATTCTTTTTTAATCTGAAAGATGAATAATATCTTGCTGGAAATAGGAATTCTGGGCTTTAAAATTTTGTCTTAATAGACTGTAGGTGTTGATTTCGCTGTCTTTAAGCTTCTACTGTTGTGTAAGCAAAACCTAATACTAGTGAGGCATATTTTGATTTTATTATTTCTGTTTTGAAACTTGTAATATTTTCCCTTTTACCTTGAAATATTATTCAGATATGCTACATGCATATTTTTTTCCCAGTGCTCTCAGGATTTGGTAGATCCAACCCATAGCCTTGAATCTTTCATAATCCCAGTGAAATGGTCTTCTATTCTTTGATTTCTTGTTGCCATCTTCTGTTTCTTTTTCACTTCTGAGGCATAATTCTGAGAACTCTATTGGTCACCTGATGGTCCTTCTGGACCTCTGATTTCTAGTTATTTTCCCTAGATATTTTGAGAAGTTTCTTCTTCTTGATTTTACGTGCCACTCATCTGCATCTAAGCAATGGCTATCTTTCAATTTATTACATTTTTTAAATTGCAATTTTGGCATTTGGTCCCAGGAATTTTTTTTCTTTTTTTTTGAGGTGGAGTATCACTCCTTGTTGCCCAGGCTGGAGTGCTGTGGCATGCTCATGGCACTCGACCTGCTGGGCTCAGGCGATCGTTTCGCCTCAGCCTTCCAAGTAGCTGGAACTACAGACACACGCCACCGTGCCTGGCTAGTTTTTGTGATTTATTGTAGAGACGAGGTCTCGCCAAGTTACCCAGGCTCGTCTCGAACCCCCGGCCTCAGGCAATCCTCCCGCCTTGGTCTCCCAAAGTGCTGGGATTACAGGCTGAGTCACTGCACCCAGCCAGGAAGAATTTTTTAAAATGTATTCTTTTAGAGTTGTGGGTACAAGTGAGAATTAACTACACAAGTAGGCTGCGCTTCCAACTGGCCCTCATGCCCCTGATAGTGGACCAGGTACCCTTTGTGTTGTCATGTGCCCCACACTCTCCGCCCTTCCTCCCTCTCCTAGCAGTGTCCAGCAATTGCTGATCCCTCCCTTGTGCAAATGTGATTAATGTTCAGGGCTCACTTATCAGTGAGAACATGGATATTCAGTTCTTTGTTTCTGTGATAGTTCACTTAGTATAATGGAGTCTCCAACTCCATTCAATTTGCTGCATGCAAAGTTCATAATTCTATTCTTCTTCGACTCCATCATGTACATGTACATTTTCTCTATTCAGTCCAATTTGATGGGCATCTGGATTGGTTCCATGTTTTTGCTATTGTGACTAATGCAGCAATAAATATGCACGTGCAGGTGTCTTTTTGGTAGAGCAGTTTATGGTCCTCTGGGTAGATTCCCAGGAGAGGGATTGCTGGATCATATGAAGGTCAATTTTTAGTGCTTTTAAGAATCACCACAGTGCTTTACACAGAGGTTAAACTAGCTTGCACTCCTACCAACGGTGTAGAAGTGTTCCCTTTTCTCTACACCCGCACCAGCACCCGCTGTTTTTTGACTTATTAATGATGGCCATCTTTATTAGAGTTAGGTGGCATCTCATTGTAGTTCTGATTTGCATTTCTCTGATGATTAGTGAGGCTGAGCATTTTTTCTTGTGTCTGTTGGCTGCTTGCTTGTATGTCATCTTTTGAGAAGTATCTGTTCATGTCCTTTGCCCACTTTTTAATGGGGCTGTTTGGTTTTTTGTTTTGTTTTGTTTTTTTCTTTTACTTTGAGCTCCTTGTAGATTCTGGATGTTAGGCCTTTGTCAGATGCATAATTTGCAAATATTTTCTCCCATTCTGTGGGTTGTCTCCTTATTCTCTTGATGGCTGCTTTTGCTCTGCAAAAGCTTTTCAGTTTGATAAGGTCTCATTTGTCTATCTTAGCTTTTATGGCATTTGTTTTTGGGGACTTGGTCAAGAATTCATTGCCTGCTTCGATGTGCATAAGGGCGTTTCCTGCATTTTCTTCTGGGATTCTTATAATTTGAGGTTTTACATGTAGGTCTTTGATCCATTTATAGTTAATTTTTGTATATAGTGATAGGCAGGGGTCCAGTTTCACTCTTCTGCATGTGGTCAGTGAGTTTTCCCAGCACCATTCGCTAAATATGGTCTCCTTTCCCCAGTGATTGTTATTGGTGGCTTTGCCAAAGATGAGTTGGTTGAGAGACAGTGTCTTGACTTCCAGAATCTCTGTCTGGTTCCATTGGTCGATGTGCCTATTCCTGTACCAATATCATGCCTTCTTGATTACTGTAACTTTGCAACATAGTTAAAACTCTGGAAGTGTGATAGCTCCTGCTTTTTTCCTTTTGCTGGGAATTGTTTTGACTATCTGTGCTCTTTTTTGTTTCCGTATGAATTTCTGTGAAAATTGATGTTGGTAATTTGATGGGTATTGCGCTGAATCTGTAGATTGCCTTGGGTAGGATGGACATCTTGACAATATTGATTTTTCCAGTCCATGAGCTTGGTATGTTTTTCCATTTGTTTGTGTCATCCTTGATTTATTTGAACAGAATTTTGTAGTTCCTATTGTAAAGTTCTTTCACTTCTCTGGTTACGTGGATGCCAAGGTTATGCTTGTTGCTGGTGTATAGTCATTTATCAGTGTGAGGAGGCTTTTGACAGACTCCTTAGGGTTTTCCAGATATAGAATCATACTGTGTGCAAAAAGGGATAGCTTAACTTCCTTTTCCTATTTGGATACCCCCAATTTCCTTTCCTTGCCTGATTGCTCCAGCTAGGACTTCTAGCACTATGTTGAGTAGGAGGGGTGAGAGTAAGCATCCTTGTCTTGGTCCAGTTCTTAGGGGGAAAGCTTCTAGCTTCTGCCCATTGAGCACAATGTTGGCTGTCCAGGAGGGATATTATGTTGTACTTGAAACTCCTGCTGGTGTTGACTGTCTTTTTTCCTGCTAACACTCTTGTGTTAATGACAGTAACCACAGAATAAGTGCCCATGTCTGTCAGCTGCTTTCATTGACTAAATTTCGTTCTTGTTCAGGTGCTGCTTTTTCTACCAGTGATTCTATTATTGCTCTGGTTCTAAACATCGCATTCTGCTGGGATGCTGGGCAACCTGAGATGGGCTTTGAAGGGAGGGTCAGATGTGGTTTGTAACAACACTGGAGTGAGAGGAAAGGTCTCTAGGCCTCTGGGCTGCCATTCTCCCCCCTTCTCTGCTTCCAGGCCTTCTTCAGCCTGCCCACCTAGGGCACAGGGATGACACAGCCCCCCCAGTGGATGTCTCCCCAGTCTCCCTCTCAGCCACACTCCCCACATGGAGAGAAATCTTCTCTGGGAGCTCAGGGAGAATGCTCCACCTGCTCTGTGTTGCCAAAAGCCTTGCTTTCACATGACCCTCGAAGGAAAGAAATATGCCCTGCCTCCATAGTGGGACTCCTTGGGGTGACCGTCACATGTCCAGGTGCCCAGCAACTTTGGATTTCATAGGCAGATGAACTGGAAAAGGCAGTCATGGGAGTTGAAGGGCCGGGAGTAGTAGGGCTCAGGCCATCTCTTCTCCGCCTGTTGACTTGACCTTTCATGTGAGTCTGTTTTAGGGGAACCATTGGCATACATACTAGACTCTCCTTAGTTTTGTGTATTATTCCTTCCCTTTGTGACTGCTGTGATGCCTGGTTCCACTTCCATCATCTGACTTTCCCGTGTTTTCCATCCTCCTAATTAATCTCCTAATTTGGAGATTGATTCTCCTCCAAAGATCTTTAAATACTTTATTATCCACTGAAAACCTTCACCATTCTTTCTTGTTGTATTGTCTAGAGTTCGGGTCCATCCAATTATTTTATTTATTTATTTATTTTTGAGTTGGAGTCAGAGAGCAAATCATCTGCCAGATTCCAGCCCCCACTCTCGTCTGTCAAGTGTCTTGTGCAGAGGACCACCTGAACGGCTGCAGTGAGTCCAGGTATGGTGTTGGAGGGACTCTGAGCCTGGACAGAGGATTGGGGGGATCTGAGCCCAGACAGAGTGTTGGGGGCTTTAAGCCTGGACAGTGTTTGGGGGACTCTGAGCCTGGATGGAGCGCTGAGGGCTCTGAGCCCAGACAGAGTGTCAGGGGTGACTCTGAACCTCGACTGAGATTTGGGAGGTTCTGCGCCCAGACAGAGTGTTGGAGGGCTCTGAAACCAAGAAGAGCACCACCTCCTCTTCTTCTGAAGCAGGAGAAGAGATGATTAATGGCTGCTAGAACTGTTGTTTTAGTCCAAACTGTGAATGATATGGGAATAATAATTACTTCCATTGTGAATTATGGTCTTGCATCTCATCTCTTAAGTCACCAAGTAAATGTGTAGCTTCTAACCAGCCCTGGGAAATGTAAAGCTTCTTACCTTTTCAAAACCACAAAAGTCTGCCCTTGAAAGCTACAAGAAAAAAAAGAAACGTTAGCGTTGCTTGCATGTTGGAAGGCATACCAAGACATCACAGCTTACATTCTATCAAGGAAATCATCCTTCTTCTACCCCAGCAATTAGGATGGCCAGACCTCAAGCCTGCCTCTGGCTCAGTCTGCACAGGATTCTGGAGAATTCCGCTCAGTCTCTGCCTTGCTTTACCGTGTTTTGAATCTATGTTTGCCTTCGTGCTGTTACAGAAAGAGTTTGAGATGAGAACCACCCCCTCGTAGAGTTAAACAGAGGTGTTAGGAAGCATGCAGGAGACACCACGTCTGCCGCCCGCATGGGTTCAGGAAAGCGCCTACCACCCTGCCACCCCCCATATCTGCTTCTTCCTCCCAGCCCCGAGGTCAGGCCTTCAAGGTTTGGCCCACGTCCACCTCCCTGCACATCCACTTAAGCCATAGCAGTCTTCCTGGCTTCTTTGAGTCTGTTATAGCAACTACGTGATAAGCACATAAGAGCTAAGATCTGTTAGTTATCTGAGCATGAATGGTCTTTCTCAGAGACAGGAGGAGGGAAGGCAGGTGATGAGCATTCATCGACCTGAAGGGAGACACCAGTCACCTGTGAGGGGAATACCTGCTCCTTGGCCAGCACAGTCGCCTTGTTCCTGCCTCCTGTCACCTTCTTTCCTGCTCCTGAGTCTTTAGTGCTGGGCTCAGGCCTATTGTCATGATTCTTGAGAGCTGTTCACTAACATGTTTAAGAATTCCAAGGTATTCATATGATATATCCTCACCTAGAATGTATTTTCCATCTCTCAATCCAAACTTTTTCTTTTCGAGTTGGAGTCTCACTCTGTCACCCAGGCTAGAGTGAAGTGGTACACTCACGGCCACCCCAGCCTCGACCTGCTGGGCTCCAGCAATCTTTCCGCCTCAGCCTTCCAAGTAGTTGGAACTACAGGTGTGCGCTACCATGCCTAGCTAATTTTTTATGTTATTGTAGAGATGAGGGCTCACCAAGTTGCCCAGGCTGGTCTTGAACCCGCGGGCTCAGGCAATTCACTCGCCTCAGCCTCCCAAAGTGCTGGGATTACAGGCTGAGTCACCGAGCCCGACCCCAACACTTATTTTTAATTTATGCTACTGTGTGATCCTATATTTAGCTTAATAAATTATCTGAAAGCGTTTTGGGAACATATTGTAGCTATAAATAAATTGATTGATGGATAAGTAGGTAGATAGATAAGTCTTTTCCACATGCAAGTATTTCAAACTTACTATACATTTGAATAGCAATAAAATAACACCATTTCCAAATTATGTATCCAATGCTATAAGGCAAAGGAAAACGTTGCTGTATTATGCTTTTACATTTCTTTCAAAGGAGGAAGTTTTTCAATTCTAAGATATACCACACATAGCTCAAATATTAAATACTTATCTTTATATCACAGAAAATATTTCAGGTCAACTGTTAGTGATGAAGCAATGCACATACCTTTAAGACATGAGCTGATGGATAGCGTAGGTCTTCACTTACAAAAAGACCCAGGGTGGTAAGGATGATCAAAAAGTGATTGGTTAAGACCAAATCCACCACTGAAATTTCTGTATATTCTAAAGAAAGAAATCACATCATGGATTAAGACGTAAGAGGAAAGCAAACTCCTCAGCAAAGCTAAGACATTTCATCAATACTGATCAAGTGTTGGTGTAAGCTTCATGCTCAAGACGAAGATACCATCAGGATTTACCTTCCTGGAGCTGGGAAAAGATGGTGTCTGTCATGTTGTACCACATGGTATCTTTGTAATGCCAGAATCCAGAAGAGGTTACACCTATGAAAACACCCACTGCAAAAGAAAAGTCAAAGTAAGATCAAGCCACCTGACAAAGCCTGCCATGGAAATCTAGTGTTAGGCCCTAGGGCAGGAGCCTGAATCTGCTCCATCTTCTATCCCCAGCTCCTCTCCAGCTCCAGCACCCTCCTTCAGTTTGATTCTCACTTCCTAGGCACTAGAAAGATGGAGTGACTTCAGGTGACACCACAGCACTTCAGCCAACCTTCCAATACCTACAGCAGTCCCCTCTGGGAGCTATGCCTTTAAAATAAATCCTCTTGGCCAGTCACAGTGGCTCATGCCTGTAACCCCAGCACTTTGAGAGACCAAGGTGAGAGGATTGCTTGAGCCCAGGAGTCCCAAACCAACCTGGGCAACTCGGTGAAACTTTGTCTCTACAGTAAATAAAAAAATTAGTCAGGTGTAATGGCGCGCACCTGTACTCCGAGTAGCACCAGCTACTCGGAAGGCTGAGGCGGAAGGATCGCCTGAGTCTAGCAGGTCGAGGCTGCAGTGGCCACTGTGCTCCAGCCAGGGTGACAGAGTGAGACACTAACTTGAAAGAAAGATGAAAGAGAGAAGGGAGAGAAGGAAGAAAGGAAAGAAGGAAGGAAGGAAGGAAGGAAGGAAGGGAGGAAGGAAGGGAGGGAGGGAGGGAGGGAGGGAGGGAGGAAGGAAGAACTTTGCTAAAGCCTCATGAAAACCTCTTAAAAGAAGATGGAAGACTGAACACACTGCAACGCTGAAACCACTTTATTACCAATCTCAACTTTCCTTGGCTATAGCTAGGCATGTTGAGAGATTTTTGTGTTTTAATATGGGATGTTGTTCTGAAATTTTGTCAACAGGTATTAACTACTGGGGCTGGGAGTTGGGGAGGCTGAAGACACTTGATAATCGAATGCATACACTTTGTTTCCAACAGAGGACATCATGCTTATTCCTGTGCAGGGAAAGATGGACACGAAATTGTTTTTATTGTATCCCTTTTCCAGGAAGAAGAAAACGAAAGATAAGCCTTTCCTTCCTAGGCATGAAGTCTACTTTTGCAGATAATAGTGGGATATTCTACTTGGGAATGACTACAGGCATCCAGCATGGTAACACATCATCAGACCCCTGCAAAGTTTAGAAATATTTAATGGAGAAATAAGCAATAAAATAAATACTTTATGCTGGTTGGTATTTTTAGACTAAAATTAAGTTGAAGGCCACTCTCTTTGACAAATTGTCCACAACTGTATCCCAGGGTTACAGAGACTGATGTAGACCCTTGTGAGGAGTTTGGTTTTTGCTCTAATGGCCAAGGGGAGCCATGGAGTGCTTGAAGTGAGGGTGTGATGTGGTCTGTGTATGCTTAGAAAATCACCTTGGCTTATATTGGGGCGAGAATAGCAACAGATGGACACACAAGAAGCTATAATGTGCTGGGTAGGAAGCAATGCTGACTTGGTGTAAGGTTTTAGCCGAGGCGAGTGGGGGTCATACTTGGGACTATTAAGCATCATTCAGGAATGTCACGAGAGTCAGAGCCATCAAAAGTGTGTCCTAGATGGCAATTTAGACTAAATTAATACTAATTGAGGTAAGGACTATTGAAGAGGAGCAGATTTTACAGGGAGATGAGCCAAGAGCTCTGAAGTAGACTTGTTATGCTTGGGATGACTGCTAGGCATTGAGAGGACATGTAGAATAGGCGATTAGACACAGGACATTTGGTCCTAAAGGAGCAGTCGGCACCAGCAGCGGGGATCAGCAGGGACTCATGAGCCAAGAAGGCACAGCTACCTTCAGACAAGATCAAGTCTTTGGGGAGAACGTGGTAACCTAAAGAAGGCGAGTCAGGGACTGAGTCCTAGGTTCACTAACATTTGGGGTCACACTGAAAAGGACCCCCCAGAAACCAAGGAATGACCAAGAGGAAAGAGCAAAGGACTTGAGGAGGTGTCAAGAAAGCCAAGAGAGGAGTATGCAGGGAAGTGTGGTCCACTGTGCTTGGTGCTGCTTGGGGGAACATGGAACAGGTATGAGGGACAGACTGCTGGAATTGGCAGGATGGAGACCTCAAGTGGTCTTGAGAAGAACTGGCTTAGGAAAGTATGGAAGTCAAAGTCAGATTTATAAGGGAATGTAGGTACAGCACATCATGTCCATGAGTTTTGCTTTGAAGGGGTGGGAGCACAGTGAGATGCAAGTTTTGTTCAAGATGGGGATATTGGGGCATGTCTGATGCAATCAGACACAGTTCAGTGGGGAGGAGGAGCATGGTGACATCAAAGAGCAAGTGAGATGCAGGACAGATGTGGGGCAAGGTTCTCCTGATGACCATGAGAACCAAAACCCCAAACATGAGGGTGGAGGGTGGCCTTGAAAGCGGCCAAGACATTCACAGTGCGACAGGGGAAAGCAGGTAGCAAACACGGCAGGAGGGTGGCTTTCAGGTGTGACAACAGCTCCCAGTCATCAATCATTAAAGAATGATTCTTTACTGACTCTGTGAAGTCCTAGGTCGAGGCATGGCCAAGTGTAGGAGGGGGAGGAAGTGGCATGGCATGTCCAGGAGAGGGAAGTGTGACGAGGCTACGAGAGTGGTGGGATCTCAGGTGGTGCCGAGTACCCCCACCCGCAATCGTGAGTCCACAGTGAGGCCTGTCAGGGGAAGGCGACGGTGAGACTAGCGTGAAGCCAGCCTAGTGGTGTCCTGCCCATCCAGGGCGGAGCAGAGGGCGTTGTGACTAAAGGGAGAGAGGGGGTGCAGGCGAGGAAGAGGGCAAGGTGAGGCAGTCACAGAAGCGTTGAGAAGGATGGCTATGAAAAGATATGAGGAAAGAGGAAAACAAGGAGTTGGGCAGTGAGGAAGGTGGCCAGGACAATGGGTCAAAGTCTCGATGAGGTCACAGCGGCATTGGAGTGTGAGTGCTGGAATAGGCAGGAAGGGTCAGAGGCAGTGGATGGGGCACAGGATGCGTTTGGGGGCTTTGGAGATGACTATGTCCTCAGAGATGACAGATCAAGAATGCATCTGTAGGAGTGGGATTGGGAGGCTGGGATCGCACGGCCATCCATATGGATGGTGAAGCCACCAAAAACTGTGACAAAAATTAAGGAGAGAGGGAGGCAGGAACCCAGTGGCTAGACTTGTCAATGAGTGAGTACACATCACATGCCTGCAACCACTGAAAATCGAGGGAGGTAGTACTGAGTTCCAAGGAGCTGGGAGTTTTGAAGGGGAGGGCGGCATGATTATAAACCAGTGACTGTAAGGACAACAGCCCTGCCCCCAGGTTCTGAGCTCTGTGTGTGCAGGCAGACTGAGGGGAAGACACCATGGGGGCATGGCCGGGCGACTGCGCACTGCGAGGTAGTTCAGGGACCACTCAGAGAAAACATCAGTGGTCTGGGGTGTTTGTTGATGACAGACTGCAAATTCCATGAAAGGACTTGGGTGGACAGAGAGGGACAGAGGCCTGGTTCGTAGTAAGGGCAATCAGAGCCCTGTGTGGCAGGGCAGCCACAGGCGGGCTGGGAGGTGTGTGTTTCTGGAAGTGAACAATGAAGCCTGATGGGATCTGTCTTGTGCTAGGAGGGGGTGGGTACTAAGTCGAAACTGGAGCACACTCCCAGGTTACTATACCCATCATGAACTCCGCATGGCATGCAGGACAGAGGGACAAACAGGACCTGGCCCTGGCAGCTCGGCACACAGGATTCTTTCTTGCTTCAGAACAGTGGTGACCGGCTGAGGAAAGGTGGTTTCACCAACAGGACCTGCCACTGTTCCTTTTCTGAGAGGTCGCGGGGGGAGAGTGACCCTGAGCCCTAAGGGGCCATGACGGCCTTTCCCCCAGAATTCCAGCTGGATGGCAGGAGCCAGCATTAGGTGCCAGGAAGGCACCCCTCCAACAGTCCCCAGGGTAAAGTTTTTTGGGATAATGAAAGGGAGGAGGTGGGCCTAGCCCAGACCTCCTGGCAATGGAACCAGGTGGGCTGATATCATGTAGCCCAGGACCAACAGAGCGGGAAGGGACACCATGTCCAGCTGCAAGCCACCAGGTGGCCAAGGAGTTCAAGGAGTTCGGAGCAAGGCTGTCTGTCTCACCCCGCATTCCACAATCAGCCGTGGGAGCACACATGTTTGTCCTTTTGAATCTCCTCTAAATTTATGTTTGTACTTCATGGGGCTTCACTCTCCTGTAGGGATTAGGGAATTGGTTTCTCAAATTCTACACAAAACCCCCACAAAGCCCAAAATTATAGCCAGAATTTTTCTTGGAAGTGTATTGAGTTGACTGATAAATTTGAAGAGATTGAACATCTTCATAACACTGGAAGTTCCTGTTTATGAACATGGAATCTCATGCGCACTTTGGTCTCTTTTTTACGGCCTTCATTTAGAGTTTTCTAATTTCTGCACAACAGGCCTTGCAACTCCTTTTTTGATCTTATTCCCAGACACATGTGGGATTTGCTACCTTGTGGAGAGGATTTTAAAAACTATTACCTTGAATTGGTTTTGGGTGGGTGGGTGTAGATATTGTTACACAACTCACAACCTTATAGTGCTCCCACATTTGTTCTGATAGTTTTTCCACATATCTTTTTGGATTTTTATACATATTATCTGTGAGTAATACAGTTTTGTTTCTTATTTTTTAATCACTATATTAAAATTTTACCCATTGTGTTATTGGATTTGGGGACTAGAAGGTCATCAATTAGCTAAGAACAACAATTAGAATGCTGGATTAGTAGCTAAAATGTGTCACAAAGCTGTGATATTGTGAGGTGATAAGAAATACATGTTTGGTCTTGGTCTCTGGCTCCTAATGGAGCCCCCAAACCTCTTAGTTTTCTGCACTATGGGGTTCTGAGAGCATCTTTTATTTGGACATTGTTTTACCTGTTCCTGACATATCCCCTACATGCCTTGGAATTTACTGGTGATGGGATGACTTTTGTTCTAATGCAGCCACTCTTGGAGGGCTCCAGATGGCTCTGGCATGTGGACTGTCACCAGAGAAAGACAGCCAGGATTGGAGCTTAGAACTCCAAGCCCATGACTATCTCCCAGGAAGGTGAGAGGTGCTGGAGGTTATGGAATGGAACTAAGGAATCATGCTCTTCATGACTTCCTCAAGGACAGAGTATTCAGATGGGAAACACACATACCAGGAGTGGGTGTATCACCATTCCCGGGGGACAGAAGCCCTGTCTTGAGAACCCCCTGGACTGCACCAACATCCTTCTCCATCTCCTGGGGACAGAAGTCCCATCCTGAGAATCCCCTGGACTATGCCAACAACCCTCTCCATCGTCTGGAGACAGAAGCCCCATCCTGAGAACCACCTGTACCATGCCAACATCCCTCTCTATCCTTGGGAGCAGACACCTTGTCCTGAGAACCACATGGACCACGACAATTTCCCTCTCTATTTCCTGGGAACAGAGCCCCAACCTGAGAGCCCCGTGGACCATGCCAATGTACCTCTCAATCTCCTGGAGACAGAAACTCTTTCTGTAGAACCTCCTGACCCATACCCAATGTCCCTCTCCATCCATGGTGATAGAAGCCTCATAGACCATACCAACACCCCTCTCCATCTACTGGTGACAGAAGCCCTGTCCTTAGATCCCCCCTGGAACACACCCAACATCCCTAAGCATCTCTTGGGGACAGAAGCCCCAACCTTAGAACACCCTGGACCATGCCAACATCTCTCTCCATCTTATGGGGACAGAAACCTCATACTGAGGATCCCCTGGACCATGACAAAGTCCCTCCCCATCTCCTGGGGGATGGAAGACTGGTCCTGAGAACCCCTGGACCATGCCAACATCTCTCTTCATCTTCTGGGGACAGAAGCCCTGTCCTCATAAGCCCCTGGACCATGCCAACATCCTTCTCCATCTCCTGGAGACAGAAGTCCCATCCTGAGAAACCTTCAAACTAAACCTATTGTTCCTCTCCATCTAGTGGGGACGGAAGTTGCATCCTGAGAATCCCCTGGGCTATGCCCACTTCTCTCACCTTCTCTTGGGAACAGAAACCACATCCTTAGGATACACTGGACCACATTCAATATCCCTCTCCATCTACTAGAGATGAAATCCCTGTTGTGAGAACTCCGTGGACCAAGACAACATCCCTCTCCATCTCCTGGGGACAGAAACCCCATCGTTAGGACCCCCCAGACACACCCAATGTCCCTCTCCATCTTCTAGGGATGAAAGTCCTGTCCTGAGAACACAATGGACCATACCAACATCCCTCTCCATCTCCTTGGGACAGAAGCCCCATCCTGAGAACACCCTGGCCCATACCCAATGTCCTTCTCCATCTCCTGGGGACAGAAGTTGAGTCCTGAGACCCCCTAGACCATGCCAATGTCCTTCTCCATGTTCTGGGGACAGAAGCCCCATCCTGAGAACCCCCTGGACTGCACTGTCTCTCTCCATCTCCTGAGAACAGAAGTCACATCCCGAGAACCTCCTGGACAGCCCCAATGACCCTTTCTATCTCCTGGGGACAGCAACCCCATCCTGAGAATCCCATGGACCACATCCAACATCCCTCTCCATCTTCTAAGGACAGAAGTCCCATCCAGAGAATCCCATGGACTATGTCAATGTCCCTTTCCATCTCCCTTTCCATCTTCTGTCTTTAAAACACCCCTGGACCACACCCAACATCCCTCTCCATCACTTGGGGACAGAAGCCCCATTCTGAGAGCCCCATGAACTATGCCAACATCCCTCTCCACCTCTTGGGAACCAAAGCCCCATCCTCAGAACTCTCTGGACTGTGCCAATGTCTCTCTTCATCTCTTGGGGACAGAAGTCCTGTCCTGAGAACTTCCTATACTGTGCCAATGTCACTCTCTATCTCCTGGAAACAGAAGCCCAATCCTGAGAACCCCATGGATGAAGCTAATGACCCTCTCCATCTCCTGGGGTTAGAAGCCCCATCTTGAGAAACGCCATGGACCACACCCAATGTCACTCTCTATCTCCTGGAAACAGAAGCCCAATCCTGAGAACCCCATGGATGAAGCTAATGACCCTCTCCATCTCCTGGGGTTAGAAGCACCATCTTGAGAAACGCCATGGACCACACCCAATGTCCCTCTCCATCTCCCGGGGACAGAAGTCCTATCCTTAGAACACTCTTGGACCATACTCAACATCCCTCTCCATCACCTGGGGACAGAAGCTCCATCCTGAGAACACCATGGACCATGTCAACATCTCTCTCCATCTCTTGAGGACAGAAGCCCTGTCCTGAGAACTTTCTGGACTGTGCCAACATCTCTCTTTCCTGGGACAGAAGTCCCGTCTGAGAACCTCATGGACCACGCCATCACCTCCCTCCATCTTGTGGGAACAGAAGCTCCTTCCTGAGAACCCCATGAACCATGACAATGTCCCTCTCCATCTCCTGGGGACAGAAGCCCCATCCTGAGAACCCCCTGGACCATACTCAACGTTCCCCTTCGTCTCCTGGGGGCAGAAACCCTTGGACCATACTAATGCCTCTCTCCATCCACTCTCCATCTATACCCTTAGGCATGCCCTTTATGGTAAACTGGCATCATAAGGAAATGTTCCTTAAGTTTTGTGGCCTGCTCTGGCACAATACTGAAGCCAAGAAGGGGACTGTGGGAACCCCCAATTCATAGTCAACTGATTAGAAGCACAATGTGGGACTTTTCCCAGCATCTGAACTGGGTGGCAGCCCTGGGACTGAGCCCTTATTCTACGGGGTCTGTACCTGCTCCGATAGCTAGTGCCAGAGTCGTCTTAAGTCCTAGGCCACCCACTCGGCATCCCAGATAACTTGAAGACTTATTTGACATGAAAAATTCATACTTGGTGTCAGAAGTGTTATGGATGAGAGAATAGAGAAAAATAGTTGTCATTTTTTTCTATATTAATGCTATTAGATATCACAGTAGTAATGAAAAATTACATATGTAATAAATAAAACAATGTAGTACCATGGGAACAATACCTGCTTATACATGGCAAGAACAGCAGAGGGATTAGAAATGCAGGGAATGGTTTCTAAAAGGAAGTAGCATATCAGAGGAGTGCTGAGGATACATGAAGTTAGGCGTCACCAGAGCCACGATTAACAAAAAGTCACAGCAGAAATAGACCGAATATTTCACACTTGCAGGGAGAGGAAGCAGGGAGATTCAAAGTTAAGTCTAGGTATTTTAGGAAACATTTTCACTCCACTGTGTCCATGCACTTAGTTCCTGCTGCCAGTTAAACACCATGGTTAGAAAATGCCAATTTCAACATTCAGTTAAGTCGTCAACATACCATCCACTGTGCCATCCATGATGAAGCCTAGCAATGCCACATCGTTGGCACAGGGGCATTTCGTCACTTTGAGATCTGCCACAAATTGATATAATTGACTGATTTTGCTTTCTGGCATCCTTAGCCCCAGAGACCACTGAAGAATAGGTTCTGTGGAAATAAAAACACGGGTGTTGAAACTGTGGCAGCACTCCTGAAAATGGAGCGCCATTACTTCCCTTTAATGTATTTAAAAGAACGGTGTAAAGAAAGGATTCCATAGCTCAGAAAAGGGAGTATGGCCTCACTCTTCTTGGTCTAAAATGGGTGGGTTCTGATCTCCAGTGCAGAAGGAATAGCGTTCTATCCGTTGATGGGGGACCTGCAAGTTTGCATTGCGGAGGAGCACCTGGGGTGGGAGGTGTTGCTTTGTCCACATCTGGAGATGCCATTTGCTGAAGGGCCTGTCCCAGGAAATGGAGCTGCACGCGTTAAGTTCACAACTCAGGGCACAACTGCTTCATGGGCCGCCTGTTTACCATGGAAATGGCAGAGTCGTGTAAAAAATGAGAATATAGTCATATAAAAATGAGGGTGTCTCCAGAGTAGCTGGGAGAAGAGGGAAGATTCTCATTTGTGGCCAAGAATCTTGGGGGTTTCTGGAGGACAGAAAGAAGCTGGGTGTGGGACCAACAGGGAGAAATCAATCAGGGCGGGACATCTCCCATGGGCTCAGGGGATGTGGCAAGGCCCTTCCCGTGACATCGACATCCTCCCGGCTTCTGGCTTTCTGGCCAGACCTATCATCCCATCTAGGCTCCGGCTCATGGACTTCAGGATGTCTGTTTTCTCCCAATCCCCTTTTACAGGTCTTGATTTTGATGTCACCTCCCCTCCTCCGGGAAGCCTTCCAGGAAGTCCTGGAGTGAGGGAGGCCCTCTCCCAGGGGCTCCGAGAGTACCTGCCCTTCACTGTAATGAGGAGAAGCAGTCCCCTCCTCCTCACTCTTCCCTTTGATACCAGGTGATAATGATTCTTTTGCAAGACCCTAGCCAGACAGGGCTTTGTGACTTTTTCCACATAAAACACTAATTGTGGACATGCAGAGGACTGGAGCTAGATAAAGTCAAATGTTCATGCATGAAAAAATGAGGGGCGACCCTATCGGGTTCCCTCTCACTGTGTGAGCTTTTCTGTCCTTTTAATAAATCCTGTTTTCACATCTTAAAAAAGAAAGAAAGAAAGAAAAGTAAGAAATGAGACTCCACAAAGCAAGCCGGGTCGGTCTGAAAGAATACTGCTGTTGAAATGTCAAAAACAGTCAGAGGACTTTCAAGAACAGAGGCATCTAGCAATCAGGTCTTTCACTGTCTACATCCTACCTTATAAATCTCCTCTGTCTCCCCAAACTTCCAGTAAAATCTGCTACAAACCCAAGGACTTTAGTAAGAAAAGGAGCCAAGTCTTCATCTGGGTTGACACAGTGTACATGGGGACAGTCGAGAAGGGAAAGAAAACACAATTTATAGCTAAACGAATTCCGCAGAAAGTCACTCTGGAATTCATAAAAACTGAGGCAAAACAGCTGGCCTTGAGGGTGTGGTGTGTGTCCAGAGGCTGTTTATAGCCAGACCTTAGCGCCCAGGACACCTAAGTTCAGACACAACTGCACTGAACTGACAGTGTCCCTCTACGTATGTTTAGTCTCCTCAAACCCAGGTACTGTATTTTAAGCGTTTTCAGTAAAAGGGGGTGATTAGAAGCTCTGACTGCTACTGGGAAACTAAGAAGTAGACAGAAAAGTGACCAGCATGAAGGTCACTGGTTCCTGTGATTGACAGCATTGGAATGGCATGGAGGAGACAGATGGCTGAGTGACTTGGGGTGTGGCCTAGATCTTTCCACCACAGCCTTCCAAGTAGCTGAAACTACAGGTGCACGCTACCGCACCCGCTAACTTTTTTTTTTTTGAGTTGGAGTCCCACTCTGTCACCCAGACTGGAGTGCTGTGGCTGCTCCCGGCCACCGCAGCCTTGACCTGCTGGGGTCCGGCGATCCTTCCCCCTCAGCCGTCCAAGTAGCCGGAATTACAGGCACGCGCTACCACACCCGGCTGATTTTTTGATTTATTGTAGAGATGAGGTCTCGCTGCCCAGGTGGGTCTCAAACCCGCGGTCTCAGGCAATCCACTCACCTCAGCCTCCCAAAGGTGCGGGATTACAGGCTGAGCCACCAAGCCTGGCTGCAACAAATTTTTAATTTTTAGAAGACTACTGTTCTTACAAGACTTTTTACTGGTGGCCCTCATAAAGAAGACTGTGATGCAATAAACAACTAAATAAGATGCATCTAAGATACAAAACTGACTTCGTAAAGTATTGTTTATAATGACTTCCAGTGTGGCCACAGTAAAGATGCATTTTCATATTTCTATAGCACATTTTGCAGACCCCTATTAATAATTACCCACAAATATTTAATTTTTTAATTTAAAATATGATGGAATATTCTGTTAAGATGAAGGAAATAGACCTGTATGTATCACCAAGAACATAACTCAAAAACATTGAGTGAAAAAGCAGCTGGGTGCAATGGCTCATGCCTGTAATCCCAGCACTTTGGGAGATTGAGGTGGGAGGATTGCTGGAGGCCAAGAATTCAAGACCTGGCTGGGCAATATAGCAAGATCTTGTCTCCATCAAAAAAAAAAAAAGAAAGAAAGAAAGAAAAAGAGAGAGAGAGAGATCACTTGGCTGCTCTACTAGAGGAGACCCAAGAAAAAAGAATTTATTTATAAAAATTGTGTGCTTATTCTTACCTCTTTATTTTTTATTTTTCAAGGTTTTGCATTTAATTACTGTGTGATATTAATCAAATCACTTAACTTCTCTTGGCTTTATTTTTTTCCTGCATAATATTTTTTTTTATTTTAAAGATGTAGGGTACAATTCAGGGTTAAGTACACAAATGTTCATTATGCAGGTACACTTGTTGATGAGGTGTGCCACCTCCCAGAATCCCACTACTGCCAAACCTGCCCCAGCAATTTCCCACTACTTACATTCTTTTCTTATGGTATTACAATAATTGTTCATGGTCCACTTATGAGTGAGAACATGTGATACTCAGTTCTTTGTTTCTGTGATGGATCACTCAGTATTATAGACTCTAAATCCATCCAAGTTGCTGTGAAGTTCATAATTTTGTCCTTCTTTATGGCTGCATAGTATTCCATGATGTATGTGTACCACATTTTTTATCCAGTCCTCTTTCTATGGACAGCACAGTTTCCATGTTTTTGCTATTGTGAACAATGCTGCAATAAACGTGCATGTGCAGGTGTCTTTTCCATAGAGTGATTTCAGTTCCTCTGGATATATTCCCAGTAGGGGGATTGCAGGGTCACATGGAAGGTTGATTTTTTAGACCTTTTAGGAATCGCCAAACTGTTTTTCACAGAGGTTGTACTAGTTTACACTCTCATCAACAGTGTAGAAGTGTTCCCTTTTCCCCACATCCTCTCCATCATCTGTTGTTTTTGGAGTTATTGATGATGGTCATCCTGACTGAAATTAGGTGGTATCTCAGTGTGGTTTTAATTTGCATTTCTTTGATGATTAGTGAGGCTGAGCATTTTTCCATCTACCTGTTGGCTGCTCGTATGCCTTCTTTTGAGAAGTATCTATTCATATCTTTTGCTCACTTTGTAATGAGGCTGTTTGTTTTTCTTTCTGTCATGTTTGAAATCCTTGTAGATCCTAGATGTTAGGTCTTTGTCAGATATACAGTTGACAATTTTCTTCCCCAGTCCATGGACTGTCCCCTGCTCTTTTGATGATTTCTTTGGCTTTGCAGAAGTTTGTCAGTTTGATGAGGTCCCACTTGTCTATCTTATCTCTTATGGCATGGGCACTTGGGGTTTTAATCAGGAATTGGTTGCCAGTTCCAATTTCCATAAGAATGTCTCCTGCATTTTCTAAGGTTCTGATAGCTTGAGGTTTTACGTTTAGGTCTTTGATCTGTTTAGAACTGACTTTTGTGTATAGTGATAGGTAGAGGTCTTCTTTTAATCTTCTGCATGTGATCAGCCAGTTTTCCCTGCACTATTTACTGAATAGGTTCTCCTCTCCCCAGTGGTTGGTGGTGGAAGCTTTGTTGAAGATGAGTTGTTTGAGAAATTGAGGTTTTGTTTCTGGAATCTCTATCCTGTTCCATTGGTCTATATGCCTGTTCTTGTACCAATATCAGGCTGCTTTGATTATTGTAGCTTTATAATAAAGTTTAAAGTGTGGGAGTGTGATACCTCCTGCTTTTTTCTTTCTTTCTTTCTTTTTTTTTTTTTTTGCTGAGGATTGTTTTGGCTATTTGTGGTCATTTATGTTTCCATATGAATTCCTGTATTCTGAGAAGAATGCAGCCGGTAATTTAATGGGTATTGCATTAAATCTGTAGATTGCCTTGGGTAGGATGGACATCTTAACAAGTTGATTCTTCCAATCCATGAGCATGGAATATTTTTCCATTTGTTTGTGTCTTCTTTGATTTCTTTTTGCAGTGCTTTGTAGTTTTCGTTGTAAAGGTGTTTCACGTCTCTGGTTAGGAAGCTGACAAGGTATTTCATTTTTTGTGTGGCTATTGTGAATGGGATTATGCTTTTTATTTGCTTTCTGTTTGCTTATTGTTAGTGTATAGAAATGTGACTGTCTTTTGCACATTTATTTTATACCCTGAGACTTTGTCAAAGTCCTTTATCAGTGCAAGGAGGTTTCTGGCAGATTTTCTTGGGTTTTCAAGGTATAGAATCATGTCATCTCCAAAGAGGGATAACTTAACTTCCTCTTTTCCTATTTGGCTACCCTTGATTTCCTTCTCTTGTCTGATTGCTCTAGCTAGGACTTCCAATACTGTGTTGAACAGGAGGGGTGAGAGTGGGCATCCTTGTCTCATTCCAGTTTTCAGGGGAAATGATTCCAATTTCTATCTGTTTAGCAGTATATTGGCTGTGGGTTTCTCAACGATGGATCTTACTATTTTGAGGTATGTTCCATCTATGCCTAGATGTTCGAGGCTTTTTATCAAGAAAGAGTGCTGGATTTTATCAAAAGCTTTTTCCACATCTAATGATATAATCAAGTGGTTTTCGTCTTTACATCTGTTGATACATTTAATTATGTTTACTCTATTGTGAATGTTGAACCAGGCCTGCATCCTGGGAATGAAGCCTACTTGGTCATAGTGGATGATTTTTGAGATGTGTTGTTAGATCCAGTTTGCTAGAATCTTGTTGAGAATTTTAGCATTCATGTTCTTCAAGGATATTGGCCTATAGTTCTCTTTCTTTGTTGAATCTTTACCTGGTTTGGGTATCAATGTGATTTTAGCTTCAAAAAGTGATTTGGGGAGAGGTCCATCTTTCTCAATCACCTGGAATACTTTCAATAGGATTGATATCTGCTCCTCCTTGTATGTTTTGTAGAATTCTGCCGGAAAGCCATCTGGTCCAGAGTTTTTTTTTGTAGGTAGTTTTCTTATGACATAGTTGATTTTCTGGGTTGTTATTGGTCTATTTAGGGTCTCAATTTCTTCTTGTTTCAACGTGGGGAGAGGTTGTATGATGTAAGAAAGTCATCCATTTCATTTAGGTTTTTGAGTTTGTTTCCATACAGGTGTACATAGTAATCTCTGATAATTTTTTATTTCTTCAGGGTCAGTGGTAACTTCATCTTTTGCATTTCTGATTGTTTATTTGGGCTTTTTCTCTCTTTTTCTTGGTCAGTCTAGCTAGGGGTCAATCTTGTTTATCTTTTCAAAAAAACAGCTTTTGGTTTCATTGATTTTTTTTTTGATTTATATTTTTGTCTTCTATGTCCTGAATTTGGGCTTTTATTTCGGTGATCTGGATTCTTCTGCTGGAGTTAGGGTTTTGGTCTTGCTTTTCCAGCTTCTTTAGGTGATCTGTTAGGCTGTCAACTTGTGATCTTTCCATTTTCCTCATGTGTCTTTGTAGAGATATTAATTACCCTCTTATGGCATCCCAGAGGTTTTGGTAAGATGTTTCTTCATTTTCATTTGTTTCCAGGGTATCTTTTAATCTCTGTTTGGATTTCTGTGTTAACCCAGGAGTTGTATAGCATCATGGTGTTTAGTGTCCATGTCTTTGTGGGTGTTTGGGGAACTTTGTTGGTGTTGATAGTTTTATTCCACTAAGAAGGTGCATGGCAGAATTCCAATCTTATGGAATTTGGTTTGCCTAATTTATGGCTGAGGATGTGGTCGATCTTAGAGTACATCCATGTGGTGATGAGTAGAATGCATAGTCCGTGGTTGTTGGGTAAAGTGTTCTGTAGGTATCAATTAAATTAATTTGGTCGGCCAGGCTCAGTGGCTCAGCCTGTAATCCTGCGCTTTGGGAGGCCGAGGTGAGTGAATTGCCTGAGCCCGTGGGTTCAAGACCCACCTGGGCAACTTGGCAAGACCTCATCTCTACAATAAATAAAAAAAATTAGCTGGGTGTGGTAGCGCATGCCTGTAATTCCAGCTACTCGGAAGGCTGAGGTGGAAGGATCGCCGGAGCCCAGCAGGTCGAGGCTGCAGTGACCGGGAGCGGCCACTGCACTCCAGTCTGGGCGACTGAGTGAGACTCCAACTCAAAAGAAAAAAAAATCCATTTGGTCAAGCATCATGTTGAGGTTCCAGATCTCCTTGTCAACTTTTTGTCTTGATAATCTGTCTAGAATTGTTAGTGGGGAGTTTAAGTCCCCAGCTATGATAGTGCTAGAGGCATTATCTTTTTTTAGTTTACCTAGAAGTTGCTTTATGAAAGTTAGTGCTCCTATGTTGGGTGCATATATGTTTAGAATGGATATTTCCTGTTGCTGGATTAAATCTTTTATCATTACATAGTGATTTTTGATAGCTTAAAGGGTATTTTGTCTGATATTAAGATTGCTACTCCTGTTTTCTTTTGCACTCATTCACCTGAAATTTTGTTTCCCATCCTCTTATTTTGAGTCTGTGAGTGTCCTTTCTGGTGAGATAGGTTTCTTAGAGACAAAATATTATAACCTCATGATATTTTATCCAACTTGCCAATCTCTGTCTTTTCAGTGGTGCATTTAGTCTGTTTACATTCAGGCTAATTATTGAGATGTGAGAGTTTATCCCTGACATGAGGTTCTTTGTTGTTGTTGCTGCTCTTTATTTGTTTGTTGTCTTTCTTTAGATTTTGGGGTTCATTCATGTGTGTTTTCAATCTTTTCCCTGCATTCTGGCGAAGGGCATTGTTGTTCTTATTTTCCTTTCTTCTGTGTTTAATACTTTCATAAGTCTTGTAGAGCTGATCTGGAGGTAGCATAAACTCTAAAGAATTGAATGCCAGGGAAGAATTTTAATTCTCCATCACTGATGAAACTTAGTTTAGCTGGGTAGGTAATTCTTGGTTGAAATTGTTTATCTTTGAGAACTTTGAAGATTGGACTCCAGGCTCTCCTAGCCTGAAGTGTCTCTGTAGATAAATCTGCTGCTATTCTAATTGGTTCTCCCTGGTAGGTAGTCTTACATTTCTCTCTTGCTGTCTTTAGGAATTTTTTTTAGACCTACTTTGTGTAAGCGAATTACTATGTGTCTGGGAGTTGGTCTTCTCATTTGCTGTTTTGCAGGGGTTCTCTGAATCTCTTGTGTTTGAATGGTCACATCACTGATGAGATGAGGGCAGTTTTCTTGAATACTTTCATGGAATATTTGTTCCAGGATGGTCTCTGTCTTTCTTTCTGCCTCAGTGATTCCAGTTAATCTTAGGTTTGGCCTCTTGAAATAATTGCTTGTCTCTTGGATGTTTTGTTCTGTCTTTAAAGATTCTTTTCTATGTTTTTAACAGTTTGGGTTAGTTCCATATTTTGGTCCTCGAGCTTTGAGATTCTTTTGCTTGGTTAATTCTGCTTTCCATGCTTCTCAGTTTGTTGTTTATTGTATTCACTGTATTCTTTACTGCTGTTATCTCAGTTATCAACTTCTTCATTCTTTCTTCTTGTCTCTCCCCATTTATATTTATTCTCTCTATTAATATCTTGATATCCAGGTTTGTGGTTTGAGACCAGTCATTCTAGAGGCTCTTCATTGTTTGAGTTCTGGAGTCTGTATTCTGTATGCTGACCTCCCAGGGGTCTGTGTAAGACTCATATCCTTCCTATGGCTTTTCTTCATTTTTGTAGGTTTTCCTCCCCCTCTCCTCTTTTTTTAAACCTCTTCTTTAATTCTGCTATTCAGTGATGAGGGGATAGCTTTTATTTCTGTTTGCTCAATCTCCTATTCTTCCTTATGTAGATCCTCTGGTTTTGTTCAATTCTGAAGCTGGACTAGGGGTGGGGCCTGTGCTTTTTGAGGTTTTGAGATTTAATTGGGGGGGCAGGGAGCTGTGATTCAGAAGTTATCTGCAGATATCGGTATCTACTGACAGGTGTGTGGGCCCCTGGAACCCACTTCCCACTTTATTACAATCTGTCCATGCAGTGGGGGTATCTGTTTGCCCCTGAAAGCAAAATGAGATTTTTAAAAGGGAAAAGAATGGGAAAAGAAAAGAGGAAGATAAAAGGGAAGAGAGAGAAGAAGAAGAGGGAAAACAGCAGGGTGTACCAACTAATGAATAAACAGACAAACAAAGACAGAAAAAAACAAAAAAGACAAAAACATATAGGCAACCATATAAACAAACAAAACACCTGTTAGTGTACTCTCCCTCAAAGCTACCCATACATAAACAAAAAATCTAAAAAAAAAAAAATTTTAAATAACAGAAACAATGTAAGTAAAAAAATGGAAACCAAAACAGAAAGAGAGAACAAAAAAGGTTAAAATAAAAAACAAACAAGACAAACAAAACAAACAAAACCCCTCACTCTCTGGCAGTTTCTGTGAGTCCAGGTTCTTTTCAGGCCTCCACCTTAGGGAGTGGCTCTGGTCTCTGGCCCCTCCCTTCTGCTCTCAGGGCAGGCAAATAGGGTTGCTCTCTGCATGGATTGGATACCCCATGGACTACTGTGGGAGGAGGATGGATCAGATCATGACTCACCCTACTCACTGCTGCTGCTGTCAAGTCTATTCTTAAGTCACCTTCTGGGTTTAAAGTTAAGTCACCTTCTATTCACTCTTGGTTTAATACAATGAACTTATCAAGATGCCCCATCAGATCATGAGTCTGTCAAGGGTCATAATTATCTCTTTTTTATCTCTAGGACTTAGCACAGAGTCTGGCATATAGTAGATTTCAAAGTTTTTTGAAAGAATATATGAATTCTTTTGTCTGTAGGCATTTACCTCGAACAGTATCCAGTAAAGTTCCTTCAGTGGCATAAATATTCAATCCATGATGCAAAGTGATCCTTACTAACCATTCTTCTACAGCTGCAATATCTGTTTGAAGACAAAAGGCAAACAATTAACTATTTTTTCATATGACATGTTGGTGAAACTTAAGGATATATGGACATTATCATCAATGATAACCTTTGCTTTTCCAATGATTTTGGCTGCATTTAAATGTCAGGTTTTCCCTACAAACATTTTGCTGATAAAATAATGAAAAAATAATTATGAAGTGATCTTACCAGCATAACAATGACTCTAGATACTAGTATTTTATACCATAATTTTTCTCCTAGAATTGTTGTGGCTTGGTAAAAAAAAATTATGACACTTCTTGTGAGATAGTATAATATTATTTAAAAGTAGACCATGATTAATTAAAATATATAGTGCAAGCCCTATGAGGGGTCAGTAAAATTTTTTTAAGGTATAAACAAGTCAATAGTGGAGGATAAAATAGTATCATGAAAAAATTAATATGAATAAAGGCAGAAAAAGAGAAGAAAAAGTAAAACAGAAAAGATGGAACAAAAAGAAAGCAACCTGCAAGGTGGGAGTTGTCAGTACCATTGTCCAGCTCAACAATTACATTAAGTGTAAATGGCCTAAAATGTCAACTAAAAGATAGATTTCTGGATTAGATATAAAAATCAAGACTGAACCGTGTGCTATTTATAAGAAACCCACTTCAGATAAAAGAGCATAGATGGGTTAAAAGTAAAAGAGTGGGTGCTTATCATGCTACACTTCCATAAAACACTTACTAATAGATTATATAGTAAAATAATACATTATATTTACAGCTGACAGCATTTTATAATGATTCAGTTTCAGTAAAATTAACTAGTGCACAAACAATAATACAATTTCCAAGTTCTAGAAAGTGAGCTTATTTTAAGTAAGGGGTAATATAAGTGTTGTGTATATCAAAATGATCTACCTAGAATACGATTAGATAAAATACCGGAAGCCCAGTTAAATTAGAATTTCTGGTAAACCACAATATGTTTTTATTATGTATTTCCCAAATATTACATGGGACACTTAAATGGAATAACAAATAATTTTTAATGTAATAAATGCTTTTTATTTGCTAATTTGGCAATCCAGACCCATGAGTAAGATAATTAATTCAGATCACCCTTACCTGTGTTTTGTGTGATATTTTCTCGAGGAATATCAACCAACCAGAAAATTCGATCACTGAACTTGAATAAAGAAGACATCAGAAAACAACGCTTTACAATGTTAATAGCAAAATTTGTATTGTCATATTGTACTCTAACTTTTATAAAATAAAATTAAATGAAAACATTCAGCACACATGCCCTTTACCCATACTTATATTATACTCATATATGTGTGAAATAAAATGTGTCCAAGAGTGAGTTTACATCATTGTTTATAACAGCTGAATATTGGAAGTAATGAAGATGTTCATTAGTTATATATAATAATACAGCCACGTAATGAAATACCACACAGCCAAACTTAGGCAGCACAAAGTTAAAGTATTACTGGCCTAATATGTCAAAAGTAGAACTCAGGGTTGGCAGAGTATTTGGGAAGTTAACAGGAGCAAGAAAGCTACAAGAACCGAGCACTCTAAGACTTAAATATGAACTCTGCCCAAGTCCTTGGGCAATAAAGGTGGAGGAGAGACCTCCAGAAGACCAGTTTTTTAAAAAATAGCAGTGAAAGCTAAAAAACAAAAACTGAACAGAGATATCAATGACCAAAACCACAGGTAAGACAGTTTGCAGTTTTTGCCAAGACAGTTATCTGCCTCTAGAATAACAATAAGAACAGCAATTTCTCAGAACAAAACAGAATACAGAGTTGCTACAGATTATTATCTTTAGTGTCTAGTTTTCAACTAGAAATGACAAGTCATGAGAAGAAACAGACAGTGTAACTGAAATTCAGGAAAAAAGACAGACTGATCCAGAGTGAGTACAGCTAGCAGACAATGACTTCAAAAGAGTATTATAAATATGTATATAAATTTAAGGAAAATATTGTCTGATGAGAGAATAGAGAATCCCAACACAGAAATGAAAATATAATAGTAAGCCAGGCTCGGTGGCTCAGCCTGTAATCCTGTGCTTTGGGAGGCTGAGGTGAGTGGTTTGCCTGAGTCTGCGGGTTCAAGACCCACCCAGGCAGCTTGGCGAGACCTCATCTCTACCATAAATCAAAAAATTAGCCGGGCGTGGTAGCGCGCACCTGTAGTTCCAGCTACTTGGAAGGCTGAGGTGGAAGGATAGCCAGAGCCCAGCAGGTCAAGGCTGCAGTGACCAGGAGCGTGCCACTGCACTCCAGTCTGGGTGACAGAATGAGACTCCAACTCAAAAAAAAGAAAATATAATAATAAAACCAAATAGAAGTTAAAAGCTTGGAAAGTATAATAACTGAAGTGAAATATTAACTAAACAGATTCAGTAGTAAGTTAGAGTTAGTAAAAGAACTAATAAGTGAACTTAGAGATACAGCAACTGAAATTATCCAGTTGTTAATATCCAATTGATAATAATGGGGTTTAAAAAATGTATTCACATTTTAAGAGATGTTATCTATGTATTACATTTAGGTCACCACAATCAGAAGTATCTGGATGTTGATGGCAACCACTTTGAGCACCTCTTGTAATTGCTAGAAGTTAAACATGACTTGTATTCATCTTTTGTTATCAGTATATATTATTACAATTTTAATATAGTTTTTCCTTTCTTGATATGTGTATACATTTTTGGTACCCTCTGTATATTATTTTATAATATATCTATTATCCAATAAATATAGCAATTGAAAAAAGAAGGATATGGTTAAAGAAAAATGAACAGTCTTAGAGATCTATGGGACAATATTATGTGTTCCAAAATGTGCATAGCTGAAGTTCCAGCAGGAAAAGAGAGAAAAGGGAAAAAATATTTTTGAAGAAACAATGACTGGAAACTTTCCAAGTTTGGTAAGCATACAGTCCAAGAAGCCAGTTGGGTAAATACAAAGAGAAAATCTTTAAGCATCCAGAGAAAAATGACATGTTACATACAGGGGGCAATAATACAATTAACAGCAGACTTCTCATTCAGAAACAATGGTGTTTGATGACATTGGAACAACATATTCAAAATGCTGAGAAAAAATTGAGTCAGTCAGACATTTTATATCTGACAAAACTATGCTTCAAATATTCAGGGAACCAGCCAGTCACAGTAGCTCACACCTGTAATCCCAGCACTTCGGGAGGCAGAGGCAAGAGGATAGTCTGAGCCCACAGGTTCAAGATCAGCCTGGGCAACATGGTAAGAGATCATTTCTACAATAAATCAAAAAACAAAAAAATTCAGGGGATCACTAAAAACCTATTAGAACTCATAAATGAGTTCAACAAGGTTACAGGATACAATATCAATAAGCAAAAATCAATTGTAATATATACATTTTCAGTAAACAATATGAACATGAGATTAAGAAAACCACCCTCTTTTCAACAGCATCAAAAAGAATAAAATACTATAAATAAATTTTATAAAATAAGTACAAATCTTATACTCCGCTAACAAAAAACATTTTGAAAAAACTAAAGAAGATCTAAAGAAGTAGAACAACATCCCGTGTTCATAGATTGGAAGATTTAATATTAGTAAAATGGCAGTCGTACACAAATTTATCTACAGATTCAACACAATCCTTATCAGAATTCCGGATGGCTACTTTGTAGAAATTGACAAGTTTATCCTAAAATTCATATAGAAATTCAAGAGACCCAGACTAGCAAAAACAATCTAGAAAAAGAAGAACAAATTTGGAGGACTCATGCTTTATGATTTCAAAACTTAGTACAAAGAACAATACCAAGATAATATGATACTAGCATAAGGATAGACATGTTGGTCAATGCAATAGTATTGAGAATCTAGAATAAACCCTCACATTTATGGTCAACTTATTTTCAACAAAGGAGTCAAAACAATTCAATAGAAAAAGAATAATTATTTTTCCTACAAATGGTGCTAGGACCATGCAAAATAATAAGTACATACTCCCACCTCACATCACATACAAAAATGAACTCAAATGGATCAAAGACCTAAATGCAAAAGCTAAAATTACAAACCTTCTGGAAGAAAACATAGAGCTAAATTTTCATAATCTTGGATCAGGCAATGACTTTCTATGTATGACACCAAAAGTACAAGCAACAAAAGAAACAAACAGATACAGTGGCCTTTATTTTTTTTTTAAAAAAGTTCATGCATCAAAGGATACTATGAAGAAAGTGAAAACACAATCACAGAATGGGAGAAAATACTGCAGATCATGTCTGTTAAGGGACTTGTATGGAGAATGCATAAGGAACGTGCCCAATTCAATAATGAAAAGACAGCCCAATTAAAAATGGGCAAATAATCTGAGTAGATAGTTCCCTTATTGACCACTTGAATATCATCACAGAAATGCAAGTCAAAATCATAATGAGATAGCACTTTACACCTACAAGGATGGCTACTAAAAATATAAAAACAAAAACCAGAAACTGGAACCCTAGGCCAGTGCGGTGGTTCATGCCTGTAGTCCTGGTTGAGCAAGAAGCTGAGGCAGGATTGCCTGAGCCCAGGAGTTCAAGCTCAGCCTGGGAAACATAGTGAGAGACAAAAAACAAAAAATTGGAATTTTTAATTTTTAATTTTTCTTTTCTATTTTAGATTAATGGATGCACAAGTACATTAAGAAACTTGAATTCTAGTAAGCTGCTGGTGGGATGTAATATATGACATCCACTTTAAAAAACCACCTGGCTGCTCTCCAAGTTAAAGAAGGAGTTACCATGTGACCCATCAATTCCATTCCTAGCTACATACCTAAGAGAAATGAAAACATATTTTCACAGCAGCATTACTCACAATAGCCAAAAAGTGAGAATCATCCAAATGTTCATCAACTGATAAATGAATAAACAAAGCGTGATATCTGTGCAGAGGGATATTATTTGTCCATAAAAAGGAATGAAATGTTGACATGTGCCTCAAGGTAGATGGACATTTAACACATTACGGGACTGAGAGAAGCAAGTCACAAATGCAACATGTTATATTTTATTCACATACGTTCAGAATAAGCAAATCTATAGACAGAATGTAGATGAGTGGTTGCCTGGGGTGGGAAGCGGAGGGGAGCAGGGAGCAGCGTCCAGTAGTTACAGGCTGTCTCTTCAAGTGATAAACATGTTCTGGAATTAGACAGCAGTGATGGTGCACAACTTTAGGAACATACTAAGAACTGTTTGGCTGCATGTTTTAAATAGATGAATTTATCATATGTTAATTATGTATTTTTCAAGTCATTTTTCAAAAGTAGGTGAAACAAAGACATTTTCGGGGGCGAGGACCCCAGAGAATTCACTGCCTGCAGACCCACACAGTAAGAAACTCTAAGAGAAGTTCTTCAAGCTAAGGACAGCTGATGGTCCTTGGACCTCCAAAAAAGAATGAGGGACAGTATAAACAGTAAGTATATGGGTGAATAGCAGAAAAGGCATTCTTCTTCCTTTAATTTCTTTAAGAAGAAGCTATGACTGTTTAAAGCAAAAAGCACAGCACTATTGTTGGGTTCAAAACGTACATCGATGTAATGTTACTGAAATATCTACTTTTAAAACAAAGACATCCTCTACTGGGAGGAGCGTGCGTTTTGTTACAGAATAAAATAAAATGTAATTACCAAGGTTAATTTAAAGTGGAAGATGCCATTATATGTACTATTTACAATTTCCAAGCTAGGAGCAAGTCCTCCTGATGTGAACATACTCAGCATTCCCTTGAAAGTTAGGTCATTTTCAGTTTGGAAAAAACACTGGATTTTCTTTGGGAAAGAGAGAAAAAATAAACATTAATAACAATTGTCAGAAGAGATGCATATTACATGAATTTAAAAGTAGGGAGAAATCGGTGACAAGCAGCTGCTGAAGACGGTTACCTTTGGGAATTACTGTCTGTAGCTAGGGGGAAAAATCTGTTTTAAAAATTATACTTTGAGATCTCAGTCATCCATTATGACAATGTCATAAAGGTTTCCTTCTTACATAATCTTCTCTATCATAGAGATGGTAATCATTATTACACTCAGTAAACACAGAATCAAAGCCATATGCTATTGCATGTAGAAATTCCAATTTCACTAAAACTGTATTTTGTATCTAGATAAAAAGGAAGCAAATGTACAAAGCAAAGCTCATCTTACTGCATTTTTATTGGTTATTTCCTAGTCTTGAGAAGATATGTGAAAACGTAGTAATCACAAATTATCAATTTTACAGAAAACTAACATGGGACAGATACTAAGAGCTCTATTTCAATTAATTCTCCTAGTAGTTAAGATCACTTTGCAGCTGGGTGTGGTGACTCATGCCTATAATCCCAGCACTTTGGGCGGCTGAGGTGAGAGGATTGCCTGAGCCCATGGGTTCGAGACTAGCCTGGGCAACTTGGCGAGACCTCATCTCTCTACAATAACTAAAAAAATTAGCTGGGCATGGTAGCGCGCATCTGTTGTTCTGGCTACTTGGATGGCTGAGGTGGACTGATTGCTGGAGTCCAGCGGGTCAATACTGCGGTGGCTATGAGCATGCCACTGCACTCCAGCCTGAGTGACAGAGTGAGACGCCAACTCAAAAAAAAAAAAATCATTTTGCACAAGTTCCCTGAGTTTAATTTCCCTATCTAAAAGAGAAAAACACATCCATTTCAAAAATGTCTACTGAACACTTACTATGAATCAAGCAGTGTCATCGGTGCTGAAAATACAGAAGTGAGTAAAAGAGGCAATCATCTGGGTCCTCGTGGAATTTATATTCTAATGAGGATTGGCAGGGAGACAAACTGGCGGATGGACTGGTGGATGGGCGAATCAGTGGACAGGCAGATGGGTGGACAGGTGGATTGGTGGATGGGTGGATTGGTGGACAGGCAGATCGGTGGACGTATTGGTGGATGGGTGGATTGGTGGATGGGTGGACTGGTGGAAGGATGAAGGAAAAGATAGAACAAGCAAAATAAATATAGAATAAATGATACAAATAAAGTAGGAAAGGGAGATTGAAACTGTAGGAGTTTGGGAGAGGAGTGCAATTTTTAACAGGGTCACAGGGGAAAGGACTAGAGTACTTACCTCAAGGAAGATTAAATGTCACAATGAATACAGCACATTTTGAAAACGGCCTGATAGACATAAACATGTTATAAAGGTAGCTATTATTTCTATTAATACTGCTATTAGACCTCCTAAGCCACAAGTATATAAAACGTAGGTCAAAATTCACTTTTTAAGAGGAAAAACGGTCAGAGAGATTAGGTAGCCTGCCCAACAACACACAGATCATAAGTGGCAGAGCCGAGGTTTGTCCTCTGCTCCATGATCTGTCTTCTTCCAAAGTCCCTTCTTTTCCCACAACATGTGACCACAAATTAGGAACGCAGTTTTGACATGAAAGGCGAGCACTTCACAGTTGTTACAGATACAAAACTCACATATATGTCTGGCATATCAAGAAGGCAGGGATAAATGTTACATATACACTATACATACTTATGGATATACATAAATGTCTGGCATATCAAGAAGGAGCTGACCTAAGTCAAAGCAGACTTAGGGATAACTGTTCTCAGGGGTGATTCTCCCTGCTTTTATTATATCTACCATAGATTTTTAGACAGCCTGTGAATATTTTGTTAACTAATATTTTTGTCAGAATTTGTTGTATGCCGGTCTTAGTAGTGTGCTTTATTTTACTTCATTTTTTAAAGAGTCTTGCTGTATGTGAGCCAAAGGATCATACACTCCCTTAGTCCAAATGACAACGGCATGTGATCCTTGTTACACAAGGAAATTCTTCTTTTTCAAGGTCATATGAGTTAACTTTCTTTCTCTAACAGGCTACATCTGTCAAACTTCAAAAGGACATATCAATTCTATAAAAAATTAAGACTATCACAGCCGGTCTTTTAAAAAGGGGCGAGGGGGCATCATCTTAAAAGAAAGAGAAAGCGGCCGAACTCGGTGGCTCAGCCTGTAATCCCAGCACTTCGGGAGGCCGAGGTGAGTGGATTGCCTGAGCCCGCGGGTTCGAGACCTGCCTGGGCAATTAGGCGAGACCTAATCAAAAATCAGCCAAGTGTGGTAGCACGTGCCTGTAGTTCCAGCTACTTGGAAGGCTGAGGTGGAAAAATTGCTGGAGCCCAGCAGGTCGAGGCTGCGGTGGCCAGGAGCGGCCACTGCACTCCAGTCTAGGTGACAGAGTGAGACTCCAACTCAAAAAAAAGAGAGAGAAAGCAAGGCTGCCCAGGGAGCCCAGCATCCAAATGAAATGTTTTTTCTGACTGGACACAAAATAGCAAGGATGGAAAATATCATTACTCAGGTAGAATTACATCTTCCCTAGTCTGGACACAGTGCAGGGGTTTACACCCAGACCCTCAAGGAGTGTGACATGTTGCAACAAGTGCTCCCACGGGACCTTACCAAGCTGTCTGAGGAGAGGTACAGCTTGATGAGCTCATTCTCCACAGGGAATCCTGTGCTGGAACAAGCAAAGTGCTTGTCCGTGTCACCTAAATCATAAAACAATACGTCTATTAGGTCACTGAGAGAAGAATTTCCATGAAAGACACCATATTTTAAAAACTGACAGAATAGTTTTAAAGAATAAGAATTATAATTGCTTGCTTTAAATTTACTTTAGATAAAATTTAAATCATCCACTCTTTTTTATTCTTTTTAAAGATATTGTCATCAGGACACAAGAGAGGAAGGTTTGGCTGGACACTAAGCTACCACATGCTAGACCATGACACAAAATGGTTACAGGTGAACAAAGACCAGATCTTGACACCTCAAATCCTCACCCTTGATGAGGGCATGTGAGATTCAGGACCTGGAGCCTGAGAAAGAATTCACATTTTTCTGGAGAGCAGTGATAGGAAGACAGTGGGAGGGGGACCCTCCTCCTTGCCTTGAGTCTGAAGAGAGAGACCTTGATGGGCAACTCAAAATGTAACTTAAGTACCTGCAGTTGGGGGCACAAGCTCAGACTCCTGCTTAGAAAATCTGAATGACCAGAAGGATCCAAGACGGTCACTGGGGAGTAGCCAACTTGTGTCTATCTTACTGAGTGGAACAGGTAAGATAGACTCAGCCACTGGTAAACTCAGATGGCTTGAGCAACTTTGGATGGGAAAGCATCCTGCATCCCTCAGAGCAGGGGTCCCCAACTCCCGGGCTGGTACCGGTCTGTGACCTCTTAGGAACTGAACCACACAGTAGGAGGGGAGTGGCAGGTGAGTGAGCGATGCTTCATCTGTATTTACAGCCACTCTCCATCACTAGCATTACTGCCTGAGTTCGCCTTCTGTCAGATCAGCAGTGGCATGAGATTCTCAAAGAAGTACAACTGAGAACTGAGCATGTGAGGGATCTAGACTGTGTGTTCCTTATGAAAATCTAATGCCTGATGATCTGAAGTGGAGGTGAGGTGATGTTGCTAGTGCTGGGGAGCAGCTGCAAATACAGATTAAAATGAGCCGTGAGGTTTGACTGCACAGAGACCATAATAAGTCAGTGGCTTTCAGACTCATATCAAAACCCCATCAGTGAGTAACAGGTGAGCTGATGTACTTCAATTGTACTGCCGCATCTGGTGGCAGGCTTAAAGTCAGAATCTGACACTTACTTTAGTCCGCACATTCATTATTTTATTTGCTACTTCTGTGTGTGCCTCTTTTTAATGGTAAGCTGTATAATTATTTCATTATATATTACAATGTAAATAATAATAGAAATAAAGTACACAACAAATGTTATGGGCTTGAATCATCCCGAAACCATCTCTGTCCCCGGTCTGTGAAAAAAGCTGACTTCCATGAATTCGGTCCCTGATACCACAAAGGTTGGGGACCACTGCTGCAGAGGACTCTTCAAAGACACTAGGACTGAGGAGAGGAGAAGCTGGATGGCTGACATGGAGCCAGGGTGCCCATCCTGCGGCATGCCAGGCCTGCATAGCACCTACAGTCCTGTCTTGTGTGTGAGATGGGGTAAGTGGCCCCGGCACGGTCTGGGTTGGTTACCTCCTCCCAGCTGGGCACAAGGCATTGGAGTCATATGGGAAGAGATCTGGTTGGGGCACAGTGGCATGCGGCTGGAGCCCACAAGAGCTGGGAATACACCTGCACTCCCAGCACTTGTGCCAGTCAGCCCCCGAGTGCATGCTCCCTACCAACAGTGCCTGGTTTGGCTCCCAGGCCAGGGAAGTCACCTCCCAGTCACACTCACTCAGTGTTCCCTGCCAGTATCAGGGGACCAGCCTCCCCTCCTGGCCAGGAAGGTTTTCCTGCCAGCCTCATGTGCCCAAAGGGCAGGTCCCTCCATAACAGGGAATCTGCTGTTTTTCAAGTGCTAAGTGCAGACTTGGACCAGAGACGGGGGACATGAGAGGCACCTGGAGGCTCTGTTTCTAGGTGGGAATGCTCTGGTCTGTGAAGGTGAAGAGCTGCCAGGGTCCCAGACCCTGACCCAGTCCTTGCATCAAGCTCCCAATGGGAATTGAAAAGCAGTCCAACTGGTCTGATCATAGGAAACACTTCATCAGAAAGTCACTTTGAATGTAGAGCACTGCCCAGCAAGCGTGTCAGAGCAGAAGTGAATACCATCCCTCTCCCCAAGTGAACTATTCTGAATGACAGAAAAGGCTCTTGGACAGCAGGACATCATCTAGCTACAAAACAATATAAACAATGGCAATAATAATAAAAAAGGTCCTCCTCCCAGATGAGGAAGAACCAACTGAAAAACACCAGCAATCCTCAAAGGCTTAAAGAGACATAACCTAAAAAAAGCAGCTATCAGCCACCAAATAATGGAAGCCACCCAGAATAACCTGTTTCTGATGACAGATACAGAATTCAGATATTATATGGCTAAAATGAATAAGGAAAACCATGAGAAATTAGAAGCAAGACTCACTCAAGCCATGCAGGAAGTAAAAGATGAGTTGGCCAATGTAAGAAAGGTCCCTTCTGAAGCCCTGAAAATGAAAAAATTCCTCCTGGAATTTTAAAGCACAATAACAGGCCTAGGGAGCAGAATCAATCAGGCAGAGAAGAGAAGACCAAAATATTGAACTCACCCAGTCTGTCAAAAGCATAGAGAAAAGACTCAAAAAGAATGAGCAAAGCCTACAAGAGGTGTGGAACTACCTAAAGAAACCAAATCTACAATTGATTGGAATCCCTGAAAGAAAAGGAGAAACTGAGAAAACTCTGAGAAGGCCTTCCCTGAGGTCATCCAAGAAAATTTCTCATATCTTACTAGAGAGGCAACCATCAAAATGCAAGAGATTCAGAGAAACCCTGTGAGAAGACCATCTCCAAGACACATAGTAATCCATCTCCCCAAGGTAAGCCCGAAAGAAAAAATACTAAAGGCAGTTAGAGAGAAGAGACAGACTATCTACCATGGAAGACCCATCAGAATTGCAACAGACTTATCAGTAGAAACCCTACAAGCCAGAAGGGACTGGAGTTTCATTTTTCATGTTCTCAAATATAAGCAATTTCAGTCAAAAATTTTCTACCCTGCCAAGCCTCATCAGTGATGGAAAATTAAAGTCCTTCCCAGACATTTAATTCCTAAGAGAATATGCTGTCTCCACACAACCCCTTCCAGAGATCCTTGGGAAGGTCTTGAACACAGAAACAAAATAATGGTTACAACCATCACAGAAGCACAGGCAAGCACAGCATTAACAGAGCATACAGAGCATTTGAAAAGTTAAAAATAAATAAATAAATAAATATATATATATATGGAAGCAAAGCAACCCCCTAAGAACCTTATGATAGGCATAAACTCTCACATACCAATAATTAACTTGAACATGAGTGGACTGAATGTGCTGCTAAAAAGGCATAGAGTAGCAAAATGGATAAAGAAACATGATCCCGCATTCTGCTGCTTCTAGGAAATCCATGTCACTGCAAAGGACACTCACAGGCTTAAGGTAAAAGGCTGGAAAAGGATCTTCCAGGCAAATGGAAAACAGAAAAGAGCAGGGGTAGCTATTCTAATATCAGGCAAAACAGTCTGCAAACCAATACAAATTTTAAAAGAAGGACACTACATAATGATAAGAGGCTCAATTTGCCAGCAATAAATATCCATCTCAAACATACATACACCCAACACAGGAGTACCCAGTTTTATAAAATAATTGCTAAGTAAACTAAGAGAGTACACAAACACTCACAGAATCATAGTCAGAGACTTCAGTACTCCACTAACAGCCCCAGGCAGATCATTGAGGCAAAAAACCAACAAAGAGATCCAGAACCTCTAATATAACACTCAGCCAAAAGGATTAAATGGACATGTACAGAACACTCCACCCCAAAACTACAGAGTATGCATTCTACTCAACAGCATTTAAACATACTCCAAGACTGATCACATTCTTGAGCATAAATCAAGCATGAGCAAATTCCAAAAGGTTGAAATAATATCAAGCATCTTCTCAGATCATAGCGAAATAAAAATAAATACTGTTACCAATAAGATCTCCTCAAAACACACAAAGACATGGACACTAAACAACATTCTGCTAAATGACCATTGGGTCAACACAGAAGTCAAGACAGAAACAAAAAGATTCCTGGAAACAAATGAAAGCAAAAATGCATCTCATCAGAATCTCTGGGATGCCATGAAAACAGTAGTCAGAGGGAAATTCATAGCATTGCATGTGCATATTAAGAAAATAAAAAGATCACAAGTAAACAGTCTAACATCACACCTAAGGGAACTGGAAAGGGAAGAACATGTAAATCCTAATTTCAGTAGAAAAATTCAGTTTACTAAGATGAGGTCACAACTGCAGGATATAGGAGAAAAAAATATCATAGAAAGGATTAACAAGACAAAAAGCTGATTCTTTGAAAGGATAAATAAGATTGACAGACCCCTAGACAGATTGACTTTAAAAAAAAAAGATAGTCCAAATAAACACAATTAGAAATGTGAAAGGCAATATCACAACTGACCCTGAAGAAACTCCAAAGATTATCAGAGATTACTGTGAATATCTGTATGCAAATAAACTAGAAAACCTAGAGAAAATGGAAGATTTCCTGGCATCACACAACTTCCTAAGGTTGAAACAAGAAGAAACCGAAATCCTCAACAAATCAATAACAATCCAGGAGATCAATTCAGTTATAAGAAATCTCCCTGCACCAGATGTTTTCTCAGCTGAGTTCTATAAGATACACAAGGAAGAACTGAAACCAATTTTATTGAAAGTATTCCAGACAATTCTCCCTAGCTCACACTGGTACCTCAAATTGGCAAAGGTCCAACAAAGAAAGAGAATTACAGGTCAATTTCTCTGATGAGCATAGACACAAAGATTCTCAGCAAGCTTCTAGCAAATGGGATCCAACAACACATTACAAGTCTCATCCAACACAGTCACGTTGGCTTCGTTCCCAGGATGCAGGGCTGGTTCAACATTTGGAAGACAATAAATGTAATTCAGCACATTAACAGGAGTAAGACCCAAAACCACATGATTATCTCAATAGACAAGGGAAAAAAACACTCGACAAAATCCAGTAACAAGTCTTGATAAAAATCCTTGAACACCCAGGCATAGAAGGGACATTCCTCAAAACAACAAGAGCCATCTATGACAAACCTGCAGCCAACGTTTGCTCAATGGGCAGAAGTTGGAAGCTTTCCTCCTAAGAACAGGAATAACACAAGTTTGCCTAACTCTCACCCTTTCTGTTCAATATAGTGCTGGAAGTCCTAGCCAGAGCAATCAGGCAAGAGAGGGAAATCAGACCTTTGAAGCAACTTGGATGCAACTGGAGACCATCATACTAAGTAAATTATCTCAGCAGGAGAGAGATCCTGCTAGGTGATCTTTTACAGCCGAGCCCCTTTTCCAGACTCTCCTGCACAGACCCACACTCCTACACCTCTGAAGTGCATGTGGGAGTTCCCTCTGCTTCCATTCTCTGACTCAATTTTTTTTTTGGTTGAGGTCTCATTCTTGTCTCTCAGGCTGGAGTGCAGTGGCACAAACACAACTCACTGCAGCCTCTACCTCCTGGGCTCAAGTGATCCTTCCACCTCAGCCTCCTGAGTAGCTGGGACTACACCAGCAGCTAAGTTTTTAAATTTTTGAAGAGACAGGGTCTTGCTATGTTGCCCAGGCTGGTTTTGTACCCCTGGGCTCAAGTGATCCTCCCTCCTTGGCCTCTCAAAGTGCTGGGATTAAAGGCGTGAGCCATCAGGCCCAGCTTGGCTCAAATTTTAACATGTTTTAAGATCCAGTTCAAACAGAGGTTTTTTCTAATCTTGTCTCAGGGAAACTAGACTTATCCTCTGCATTTGGTGTCACGCTGTGAATAGCATGCTTTGTCAATGGGCTCATTGGCCCGGGCAGTGAGAGGGAAGGTGCCCACAGGGGTTGTGGTGAGAGATAGAGACAGGCTTCCTGGGTTGGCCACTGTGGACCCTTAACCTGGAAATCCTTGGGTCACAGAATGTGCAAGATGCTGTTTTTATCATGGAAGGCAAAAAAGTGACTTTTTTGCAAACTTCTAAAGGAGAGATGTGACAGCGAAGTGACCTGCCTACCAAGAGTACCACTGTCAAGAGAAATACACATGGAGCATGGATGCAGCATCTGCCCGCCTGGAGTAAAGCCCCCGGGTACCTCCACTGAGGCAGTGCCGGTCAGGAAATGTGCTCACTGCTCTATCTACCGTCGTGCCATCACAGCAGGCGCCCTTTGGCCATGGACTCATCCTCCTGTGTGTCAGTCACCTGTGACCCACCACAGGCCAAAAACCAAGTGGAAAATTTCAGAAATGAATGCTCCTAAGTTTATGTTGTGTGTACTGTGTCCAGTAGAGTGACCAAGTCTCATGCCACTGGCCCCTCCTGCCCTGGTTGTGACACATCCCCTTGTCTGGTATGTCCACACCACACAGGCTGCCCACTGGCCACCTAATAACTGTCTGGCGGTCAGATCAGCTGCCTGGGAACTGCATGTGTTCCAGTCCCCTGATTTCATTCACTGACGCCATGTCACACACCTGTGTCCTCCCTCCATCTCATCATTAGACCTTTTCAGACCACAGGAGGGCTAAGAGCACACAACTAGACATTCTGAGATACAGAGAGGCCATGTCACAAAACTTTTATTGCAGTGTGTTGCATGTATTCTCTTTTATTATTAGTTACTGTTTTCCACCTCTTCCTATATTTGATTTATAAATTAACTTTGCAAATTAACTCTATAAGTTAAACTCTATCATGAGTATAGATGTAGAGGAAGAAACACAGAATACGTAGGGCATGGTCCCACTGTGGTTTCAGGCACCCCATGGGGAGCTGGAGCATAGCCCTGTGGGCGAGGGGGGCCCACAGGACAGTCACAAGGCTGAAGCCAGAAGCACGTGAGGGCCTTCCCTCTCTTTTCCACCCACCCATCGCACACATGCTGCTGCGGAGGTCAGAGAATGCCACTCTCAGGTATGCCTCTTTGGTGCGTGGATTATTTTGAGCAGAAGGCAATCGAGAGACAGCAGGTACTGAAGGGCTCTCTGCCTTCTCCTCTCTACCTGAGGCAGGACACGAATCTCCAGTGGCAATGCATCCTGCTGGAACCTTTCTGGCCATTCAGAAGTCCTCCTGACTGGTTCACTCTGTGTAGTGATTCCAGAAAACACTCTTCTGCCAGCCTTACAGGCAATTCATACTACATGCAACCCTTCATGGAGGAGGGTTCAAATAATTAGAGTTTTGAAAATATAAAATTAAACTTTAACTATTGTATGACTTCTAAGTGATGAGCTACTACAAAAAGAGAAAAGTCTCTAAGTATACGACTTCATAAACGTAGGTTCATAATGGTGCTATTAGAAAACTCCGGACCAGAGTAAAGATAAAGAAGAAATACTAAAAGAAAAATGTTTCCACAGTAAATGAGGAAGTGGTTTAAATGAGAACTCCTGAGAAGGAAACAGAAAGAAAGAGGGTGGAAACTTACCTTTATTATACACTATTCCTGATGAAAATTCAAATATGTTCACAGGTAAAAGTATAACATATATAAGTGGCAATTCCATCTGTTGAAATAAATAGCAATTGTTTCCGTTCACTTACTCTGAATCCATTTTTTTGTTCCTTTTATTATAAACAACTACAAAGAAGCAAATAAATCATCTCTTCAACTTAAAAATATTCCACATTATGTGACAAAAAGTGGACAACTTAACAGCTGACTAAACTTTACGTTTACTCCCTAATTGGGAGGTGAATGTTTAAGACAAGTTTGTAAGTACAATGACTACCAACTAGAAAAAGAGTCACAGATCTTTCTTTAATGTGGACAACTATTAGAGGGGGAGGACTAGTTGACTGCATAAAACAGAGCCTGAACTGGCAGACACAGAGGACAGCATAGCTGTGACTCATCTGGCACTTTGGCATTGGTCATGGGGGAGGTAAGCCAACTGGTCCTGGATATGCACAGTGAGTCCCCTACATACGGACTGACCTTCAAGTTACAGCTTTAATGATGCGCACCTGATTTTTTATGTATTATTTCTCTCCACCAGGCAGCAGTATAGCCTGTTACATACATACAGTACCAGGTAGGCGATTTGTCAGTTGGGTACCTAGGCTAACTTTGTTGGGCTTAAACAGATTGGATTTACCAGCGGGCTCATGGACTATAACTTGTTCGTATGTTGGTGACTTCCTGTATGTATGTGTGTGTGTGTGTGTGTGTGTGTGTGTATACACACATATATATACATAATGTTCTTTTGGGAATGACCTCTAGGGTTGATACACAAGATATTGAGTGACATATTCAAAGTACACTACTACAGAGTTGGGCGGAGTACAGAGATCTGGTTCAATAGACCTAGTCAGCCACAAAGATGCCACAAAATAACAATTTACAAACTAAGTAGATGTCAAGCATCTAACTCCATCTGACCTATCACCAAAGCTGCTACACTGTCCCTCATTCTGCCCAATGCACATGTGGTCCCGTACTCTTCACTTCCTCCAATATGACAGCTTTTCTCAGTTAAATACAACTTTCTTTCAACAGCTGTCTCACAATTAGAGAAAAGGCGGAGACTTTAGCCAAAGATGAGCTCCATCACTGGGATTGCTTGCTCTTCAGCAGGTTCCTTGACTTCGAGTTCATCTTTTACTCAGCGAGTTGGGGACCCCAGCCACCCCAAGGTGTCAGTATGAGACTTGCATGAAAGACATGTAAGCACCTCATGGTCACTTGGCATACCACAAGCATATGATGCATGCACCCATTGAACCCCTCTCTTTTCTCATGGCATGGCAGCAATTTCTTGTCCTCATCACACGCCCCTACTTACCTGCTGGTTGGATCACCCCGGTTATCTCAGTTATAATGGGTTTTACACCATGGTGAGATACAAGTTACATTCCTGGGTATCTACCCTTCTCTGGCACCAAATCAACACCAGGAACGCCCCCAGGAAGGAACCTACCCACCCCCCCAGCTGGCTTGTGTGTGGTTACCCAATTTCCATGGAATAGCGATTATACTGTGAACTTGTAGGACCCTAGTTTTAATATTTCTAACTACGATTACCTCTTAATGAGATGCCTGACTAGCTTTTCTTTTCTTTTCTACAATTTCCCCAAGTTTTCTTTCATATGGCCTGAGAAAAAAGACCTGAAATCCAGAGCTGAGTTTCCACAGTTGACGGGCTCAACAGCTCATTCAGCTTGGTAACAGCCAATCAGTTGGTACCAAGAGCAGAAGTACTCCAGAAATCTCCAGATGGCAGTTGGAACTTCCAGCTAACTGCCTCAGAGCCCCAAGGGGAATTTCCTTAAAAACTTGTGGGAGGTGGGATTTCTCCAGCGTCTTTAACAGAATGCCCCCCAAGGAAGGTTCAGTGCCTACCTGTGGTCCTCTATAAAATACTCCAGTCACCATGTGACCTGGAGTCTGAGAAAAAGGCTGCTACCTCCAGCGAGGCTCACAAGCAGGCCATCTGTCCAGGTGAGTTTCAGAGCTGAGTCTCGAAGGAGGAGTGACATCTGAAGTAGGGAAGACCTCAAGGCAGATAAATGAGATAAGCAAATACGCAAATCACAAAGCCAAGACCAAGCCATGGGTGTGTGGGAAAAAGTAAGATGGTGGAATGCCAATGTGTCCCCATTGCCATCACTGTGGGACTGTCCTTTCCATAGGGATACTGGTGGGGTGCGGGGCAAAACTCGTGAGCCCTTTGACTCAACCCCGATATTAATTCCAGAGCAGCCAGCATAGTTTTAAAACAGAATGTATTAGAGAAAGTGAAGGGGAAAGACAGAGAGAGACATGCCAGAGCTGGCAAGGGCCAGGAAAAAACTGTGCTTTTGCTTTTGACCAAGGGCCTGATAAGCCCATTTAGGGATTGGCATGTTGATGAACGAGCAGGTGAGGCTATCTGCTCAGAAGAGAGGACCATCTCTTGCCTCTGATGGAAGAGGGTGAGGTGGACTGGAAGTCTGCAGTGAATCCACATTCCAGCATGCAGGGCAGTTCAGTCTGTCAACATGCTGGTTTCTGGATACCGTCTTTCTAAAACGAAAAACTGTCTACAAGAACTTTCCTACCTACACCTAACCTGTGCTACCACTCAGGCACTCAGGCTGTCTTTGGCCGAGTGCCCGTGAGCTGAGGCAGGACCTGCCTGACTTATCCCGTGCCCTGGCGAGTCACGAATGGCCACGCAGGCCGACAATTCATTTTTGACAATGATGATAACAGAGCCTGGTTTATACTCATCCTCTGCTTCAGCATCCCTGCACACAGCCACGTGAGACGTATCTGGTGTCTGGGTTTAATCTATTCCTGGAAGAACCTGTGTCAGAAATGCTTTTCTCTCCCTTCTCTGGTAACTGTGACTGGTAATTATTCCAGGTTACGCCTCAACTGAAATAATGTGCAGAGCTCATCAAAATCTCTCTCCTGATGAAGACTCATTTCCCAGACCTGTTGGGGGGGACTCCCTTTGTGTTGGCCACTTCCCACTAGAGAAGGTGACAAAGTTTCTGTATGGAAGCAAGTTGCCGTTTTTGTCATCGCAGCAAAATTGTGATAAGCAACACCGCATCAAAATGAAAACATCTTAGGCCTGGCATGGTGTCTCACACCTGTAATCCCAGCATTTTGGGAGACCAAGGTGGGAGGATTGCTTGAGCCCAGGAGTTTGAGGTTATGGTGAACTGTAATGGAGTCACTGCACTTCATCCTGGGTGACAGAGCAAGACCCTGACTCAAAACAGAATAAAAGACCGGGCAAAGTGGCTCATACCTATAATCCTGGCACTTTGGGAGGCCGAGGTGAGAGGATTGCCTGAGCCCATGGATTCGAGACCAGCCTGAGCCCATGGATTCGAGACCAACCTCATCTCTACAATAAATCAAAAAATTCACCAGATGTGGTGGTGCATGCCTGTAATTCCAGCTACTTGGAAGGCCGAGGCAGAAGGATCACCTGAGCCCAGCAGGTCAAGGCTGCGGTGGCTGTGAACGTGCTATTGCACTATAGTCTGGGTGACAGAGTGAGACTCCAACTCAAAAAAAAAGACAGAATAAAAGCGTCTGAGTATGTTGAAAGCACACATTGATAGCTCTAAGGAAAATCACAACACAGTGACATTTGCTTTCTTTTCCCCATAACCCCTCTGCTCTCTTTTCCTCATTTGCCCCCACATGATTTTTCCTCCTCAATAAAAGTCAAGGAGCATCCTTCAGTCCCGCGACTGATGACTAACACTCTGATGTGAATAAACACTGAGTGCTCTCCCAGAAGGTCACATATGCACAACAGTGAGATGAAAGTTGGTTGTCCCCCAAAGGCAAACCAGGCACAGGCGTCCAGCCAGAAGGACGGGGGACATGGGAAGGGGTTCACTGGAAGAGGCATGAGTGACATGTTCTGTGAATTTTTCCTGACTATAACATGCTTACTCTGCAAAACATGAAAAATATAAGCACTATGGAGAAACTCATTATTCATGAATCAACAGCCAGGTCTGACCGCTGTACACACGTCAACATGCTTGAGTCTGCTCCCTCTGCATGTACATATTTAATGTAGGGTCCTCCTGGACACAGGCACGACCTTCCTCAATCACTGTTACTCAGACTATTTTCTCACGCAGCTCAATGTTTTTTAAAACAAGTTTCACAGTTATGCGTCTAAAATAACTGTACACTTAAACATAAGATATTATGCTGTTTCCAGTGTTTTCCTATTATGAATAATATGGTAATAAGTAGTCTTAAACAAAAATCTTGTCCTGAATTTGAAAATATTCCCTTAGGATATGAACATGTTTAAAACTCATGATGCGTTTTTGGCAAACTGCTTTCCAGAAATCCAGCAGTAAAACTACATGCAATCTATAATGATCTGATACATAAAAAGTATCCCATTGTTTAGTTTTCTGAATATTGGTACAATTGAACATTTTAAAATATGCTTGTTGGCCATTTATTTCTTCTATGAATTATCTGGGCCTGCTCTTGACTGGAAATTTAGTGTTCTACCTGTGGAATGGTAAAATAACTCCTTGCAATATTTGCTATAAATATTTAATCCAATTTGCCTAATTTAAATTTAATTCTATTTATGGATTTCTCTCGACTTTTTTATGTGAGAACTTTTTAAAGACTCAAAAAGTTCAAAGAATAACAAGAATATTTTGATCACCCCAGATTAACATTACTCCCAGTTTTTAACAACTTTTTATTATAGGATGTTTCAAACATTGAGAAAACTGTAAAGTGACTCCCAGTTTATATTTATTTTTATTTTATTATTATTTTTTGTCATAGGCACCTGTCCTATGAACTCCCAGTTTGTGACAATTTTTCATTCTGGCATGTTTCAAACATTAGAAAACAGTAGAGAGAGCTGAGCCATGACTCCCTTGTACCAGCGCTTGACATCAGTCCTGCAGGTCTGCGACTCCCCCCACCTCCCTCCTCCAGAGATGCTCTGAAGATTGCCTAGACATTTGTACGTAGTTCAGGGTGTATTTCTAAGGAAACCGTCTTTTTAAAATAAAA